GAGAGAACACAGGGCAAATTACAGTAGATGAAGTGGTTCAGCCTGCTAAATTCAAAGGAGGAAAAGTAATTTATTATTTCCCTGTAGAGTCCCAGAGTTTCTTAACTGGAGATTGAGTAAAAGACAAAGTAATAATACACTACTGTGTAAACTAATACCATGACTGACAATTAGACCAGCAAGTGAGACAGGTGTTGGTGAATTCAGATCATTATCCTTCTAATGGCTGTGGTCACCTTTGTGCCTTTTTCTGCAAAAGGAAATAGATATACCCTACAGAATGCCTATAGAATGAGACAGGGGAATACTTGCAGCACTGCACAATTTTGCATGTGGAAAAACAATGCCTTCCTAAACCATGAATGCTGCAACAAGACACAGTAGCCAAAGCTGGCAGTAAAAAAATCATATTAATAGGAAATGTAGTGAATTATTTCAGTATCTTATGAATAAAAATTGTGCCTTTAGTAGCTCATAACATTTACAAACACTAAGTATTTAGACTTGAATTTATCATAATGCTGGACTGCATGTAGCAATTCCACTGCTGCTCCCATTTTTAACAACTTTATAGTTGAAAGAAACAATAATTGGAAAACATCCAGAAGACAGCACATGAGGGAGAGGGTCTCTGCTGCTGTAATTTCACTGTCTTCTGTTTTTCTTTAGGAATAGTTAGACAACTTCATTATATGAAAAACATTAGAGCAGATAAAGATACATGTAGCATTGCTATTAGTACCAAATACTGTTCCATTTTGAAAGGCGTGATGAATTTTATTTTCATTAAGCAGTATTTAATGCAGTGTCCTCCATGAAGTGTGGACCTGAGAGAAATGAGGATTTGTTAATCCAAAGAACAGGGGTGTGGATGGCCAGATTAAGGATGAACCTAAATCTCATTGTGGATAAAGTATTAAGGTGTTACAGGAAAGCAACAATATTTTAATTTTACATGTAACACATAAAGAACCTTTGTTTATTTTGGTTTTTTTTTCAGTCAGTTTTGCAGGCTTTTACAACAAAATGAGGGATCTCAGCAGTTGTCTTATTTATTGTGTCAAAGGCAAGGCCCTTAGTATTTTAGATAGATTTTATCTTTTATTTTGGTAGAATGCCAAATTGGAGATATGAACAAATAATACCCTTAGGTTGAAATTGCTTTTCCATTCCTGTTTCTGAGTCTGATCAGGAAGGCTTTTTGTGTGGGGACTACAGCTCTGCATCATGACATGAGGTAGCTCTGCTCCCTTAAATGCCAATTTGAAACAGTTTCTGAATAGTGAGAGCTACTTGTACATCCTCTGCCTCCAGAGAATAATCTAATGATAAAATTCCTCTTTTTTACCTGCATGGGTGTGGGTCTGAGGCTGTGAATAAATTTTGCCCACTGTGTCAGTCTTATCTTTTCCTTGTATTGCTTGGTTGGTGAATCATCCTGTCAAATTACTGGCTTGTGTTACATATTTTTGTTCTACACAGATAGCTGTCAAATCTTATAGGCTGATCTTAAACCACATTCTTGCTCTGACATTTGTCTCATTTTATCAATAAATGTAAATTACCATTAGAGTTGCACGGAGGAAGAATGTCAAGGAGAGAACAGTCACAAGTATTGTTTAAAAGTGACAAGAAAAACGGGCTATTTTCAGGAAATATGAAATTTTGACCAGGTCTAGCTGAAGTTCTCTTCCAAACTGTTCTTTTATCTATATTTAAAGTTGTGTTCTCAACCAAGTGCTCCAAAAAGTCTGATGAAGAGTGAGATTCTTCACTGTGGTGACCCCTGTGAACTTGATTTTCATGCTTGGAGGCTGTGGTGTGTTTGCAGGGTGTGCTAGCATGTGGAGAGGCGAAAAAATCTGTGTGCTTATCCTTTAATTTTGGTCAATGATCTGTACATTATTGGCTGTGGGCGCTTTTAAGCGTTCCCTTGGAGCAAATCTGCTCCTGCTGGGTGGTTTCTGGTAAGCAGCAGAGAATAGTGCAATCTGAATTTTCAGTGGAGTGGCTTGCTCACCTGTGCTTTTGGGCCATGGCCCAGGCCCCACAGGTGAGTGGATAGAGGAGCTCACTGAGAAGCCCCAGCATGTGACAGTGACGGTGCTGAGCTCCACGACTGCCCTGACCTCCTGGACGGCGTCACACGAGAGCAGTGGCAACAGCACCATCGTGTCTGTGCTCTCCCTCACCTGCCAGAAGCAAAAGGAGAGTCAGAGGCTTGAAAAGCACTACTGCACTGAGGTAAGGAGCAAATCACGTAAAAAATCACGCTGCTGTTTAGGATCCTTGTGCCCCAGGGCTTGCTCAGGCTGCAGTGGGCAGTGGCAGCTACTCACATCTGCTGTCCAAAGACAGGCTGGTGGAGAGTGGAGAGGAGAGCACAGCAGGCAGGAAGGAGTGAGAATGTGCAATACACACAGGATGGTTAAAATGGTATTTCTGCTGGTCTGGCTGTGACTTCACCCAGGCGTGTGCTGCAGTGCATCTGTAATAAGAGAAGTGCTCACATGCATCGTTACCATCAAAGTAGCACAAATTGTTTGTTTCTTAGCCATCCCACATCTGAATACAGAACCTGACTGTAAATTTTCTGGAAGTTTTGAGATGATCATAAGCCAGCTTTTCTTTTCATCCATAAGAAAAGGTGTCAACACTGGGAAACAAACAGCAATTCAGACCACCCCAGATTTGTATGGACAAGTCCTTTAGTTTATCTTCAGTTTAGTTCTGTGTTTGTAACCATCAGGAGTCCTGAACCCCAAAACTTGAGAGTTTTATGTTACTTGAAACCCTTAGTGAGTGCAGCCCCCCATCAGACTGTGCCTATGAGAGCTCAGTGGCACGTGGCTCCAATTAGAAAGATTTGAGAAAGATTTTGATTGAGATTTCTCAGTAACCCCACCAAGATGCTGATACTGCCTTTTTCTGAGCAGGGCCGTGACTTCTGTCTGGCTCCCTAAATGTGTGTGATGGAGGAATCTGCAAAGGACTGCAGTGCTGCCCTGCTGCACCCTCAGCCCACCCATGGGAATGGAGGGGGCTGCTGGCACTCCCTGTAAATCATCTTCAACTTCCTGACCAGCCCTGCAAGCTAATTAATACAGAGAATTTACGACCCTTAAAATGCCTTTTAAAATTTATCTCTGTAGAAGTTCTGAGTTTTAGTTCAAGAAGGGCTGTGAACTTAAATGTTTGGAAGTGTCTTGTCGTGGCAACTGGAGAATTGTTTTTCAGAATCATCTTGTTATCTTATTGTTACTTATATTTCTTAGAAGTGCAGTCATTTAAATGGGAAGCCAAGTAGACTCAGTGGTTTTAAACAGAGATCTCAAACATAGGCATTAATGATTTTCTATAAATACTACAGGAGTCATCTACAAACTCAAAACCAGGTACCTAAAGTTAATCTGAATCAACAAGACATCTGTAAAAGTAAATGTGTATTTACTGCAAGTAGGTTGAAAGATCTAAATACAGTTCTTTGTTTCTTTCTGTCATTACGTACATTTGTATCAAATTTTATCAACTTACAATACCTGGATTGTTAATAGCTGTTGGATTGACTTCTTCATGATGAGTTGAAAAGAGCAAAATTCAGTGCAGAGTTCTATCCATTTCTAACATGGTGCATGATTTAAAAGTGATTTAGCTTTTCAGAGCAGCTGGTAAAGACAAATTCTGTTCCTCACTAAATCTGTGCTTGGCAATAAACCACCAGTGCAGAGGTGGCTGTGATACAGACTTTGGGAAGGTTGTGAAGAAAATATTAGTAGGAAATACCAGCCTGCAGCTCTAGAAGGCTTTTCCTCAAAGCTTGCTCTGTGCATTTGCTGTTTGTGGAGTCTTCAGGAGATGAGCTTCTTCGTGTTGTATCAGACCAGGAATGGCTTGGGCAGGAATTCTGCCTCCAGCTCTGACTGAAACCTGGTGTGGCACAGCAGAAATTTTAACTGTGATGTTTGCAAGCTGAAAAGAAAAATCGCAGTGCCCCTTAGGTGCAGTTTGTAGTGCTGTGGAGGGGAGGTGACAGAGAATATTTCCCCTCTGATTTCACTGGGGAGTCACTCAGCACATGGAGTCAGAAGACAGCTTCCCCAATATGCTGCCTTCAGCTCACAGGGCTGCATAAATGATGGATGGAAAGCCTCAGGCTCTCATTGATAACACGTGGTCTAAACTCTGCAGCCTGAATGACACCACCTGCAAGTGAATAATGGAGCCTGAATATTTAAATAACCTTTGGCAGCAGGAGAGAGTGGGTCTGTGGTGAGGTAGCTGACCTTGTGCAGCCAGGCAAGTGCAATTCTCTGAGTCAGATCATTTGTGAAGTCAGTCCTGACCACTTCCACAGTTCTGCCACGTGGGGCTTAATGAATGAAGTTCTTGCTGTCGATGCCAAAGCGTTTGGATTCATGCCTTTTGTAACTGGAGCCAGCCAAGTACAGTCTCATTATTCTTNGAAATTTTGACCAGGTCTAGCTGAAGTTCTCTTCCAAACTGTTCTTTTATCTATATTTAAAGTTGTGTTCTCAACCAAGTGCTCCAAAAAGTCTGATGAAGAGTGAGATTCTTCACTGTGGTGACCCCTGTGAACTTGATTTTCATGCTTGGAGGCTGTGGTGTGCTTGCAGGGTGTGCTAGCATGTGGAGAGGCGAAAAAATCTGTGTGCTTATCCTTTAATTTTGGTCAATGATCTGTACATTATTGGCTGTGGGCGCTTTTAAGCGTTCCCTTGGAGCAAATCTGCTCCTGCTGGGTGGTTTCTGGTAAGCAGCAGAGAATAGTGCAATCTGAATTTTCAGACAGCCACGTTTCTCTTGTCATGGGCTGTGCTCAGGCTGTGTCCCAGGGGCTGCCACCTCTGCTGGCTCTGGGGGTGGACAGCTGCCCATCCAGCCTCCCTCACCAGCCCTAAATAATTCCCTGAGAGGAAGCTGTTGGAACTTGTGTGCCTCCAGTGGGTGGAGTGGCTTGCTCACCTGTGCTTTTGGGCCATGGCCCAGGCCCCACAGGTGAGTGGATAGAGGAGCTCACTGAGAAGCCCCAGCATGTGACAGTGACGGTGCTGAGCTCCACGACTGCCCTGACCTCCTGGACGGCGTCACACGAGAGCAGTGGCAACAGCACCATCGTGTCTGTGCTCTCCCTCACCTGCCAGAAGCAAAAGGAGAGTCAGAGGCTTGAAAAGCACTACTGCACTGAGGTAAGGAGCAAATCACGTAAAAAATCACGCTGCTGTTTAGGATCCTTGTGCCCCAGGGCTTGCTCAGGCTGCAGTGGGCAGTGGCAGCTACTCCCTTCTGCTGTCCAAAGACTGGCTGGTGGAGAGTGGAGAGGAGAGCACAGCAGGCAGGAAGGAGTGAGAATGTGCAATACACACAGGATGGTTAAAATGGTATTTCTGCTGGTCTGGCTGTGACTTCACCCAGGCGTGTGCTGCAGTGCATCTGTAATAAGAGAAGTGCTCACATGCATCGTTACCATCAAAGTAGCACAAATTGTTTGTTTCTTAGCCATCCCACATCTGAATACAGAACCTGACTGTAAATTTTCTGGAAGTTTTGAGATGATCATAAGCCAGCTTTTCTTTTCATCCATAAGAAAAGGTGTCAACACTGGGAAACAAACAGCAATTCAGACCACCCCAGATTTGTATGGACAAGTCCTTTAGTTTATTTTCAGTTTAGTTCTGTGTTTGTAACCATCAGGAGTCTGAACCCCAAAACTTGAGAGTTTTATGTTACTTGAAACCCTTAGTGAGTGCAGCCCCCCATCAGACTGTGCCTATGAGAGCTCAGTGGCACGTGGCTCCAATTAGAAAGATTTGAGAAAGATTTTGATTGAGATTTCTCAGTAACCCCACCAAGATGCTGATACTGCCTTTTTCTGAGCAGGGCCGTGACTTCTGTCTGGCTCCCTAAATGTGTGTGATGGAGGAATCTGCAAAGGACTGCAGTGCTGCCCTGCTGCACCCTCAGCCCACCCATGGGAATGGAGGGGGCTGCTGGCACTCCCTGTAAATCATCTTCAACTTCCTGACCAGCCCTGCAAGCTAATTAATACAGAGAATTTACGACCCTTAAAATGCCTTTTAAAATTTATCTCTGTAGAAGTTCTGAGTTTTAGTTCAAGAAGGGCTGTGAACTTAAATGTTTGGAAGTGTCTTGTCGTGGCAACTGGAGAATTGTTTTTCAGAATCATCTTGTTATCTTATTGTTACTTATATTTCTTAGAAGTGCAGTCATTTAAATGGGAAGCCAAGTAAACTCAGTGGTTTTAAACAGAGATCTCAAACATAGGCATTAATGATTTTCTATAAATACTACAGGAGTCATCTACAAACTCAAAACCAGGTACCTAATCTGAATCAACAACACATCTGTAAAAGTAAATGTGTATTTACTGCAAGTAGGTTGAAAGATCTAAATACAGTTCTTTGTTTCTTTCTGTCATTACGTACATTTGTATCAAATTTTATCAACTTACAATACCTGGATTGTTAATAGCTGTTGGATTGACTTCTTCATGATGAGTTGAAAAGAGCAAAATTCAGTGCAGAGTTCTATCCATTTCTAACATGGTGCATGATTTAAAAGTGATTTAGCTTTTCAGAGCAGCTGGTAAAGACAAATTCTGTTCCTCACTAAATCTGTGCTTGGCAATAAACCACCAGTGCAGAGGTGGCTGTGATACAGACTTTGGGAAGGTTGTGAAGAAAATATTAGTAGGAAATACCAGCCTGCAGCTCTAGAAGGCTTTTCCTCAAAGCTTGCTCTGTGCATTTGCTGTTTGTGGAGTCTTCAGGAGATGAGCTTCTTCGTGTTGTATCAGACCAGGAATGGCTTGGGCAGGAATTCTGCCTCCAGCTCTGACTGAAACCTGGTGTGGCACAGCAGAAATTTTAACTGTGATGTTTGCAAGCTGAAAAGAAAAATCGCAGTGCCCCTTAGGTGCAGTTTGTAGTGCTGTGGAGGGGAGGTAACAGAGAATATTTCCCCTCTGATTTCACTGGGGAGTCACTCAGCACATGGAGGCAGAAGACAGCTTCCCCAGTATGCTGCCTTCAGCTCACAGGGCTGCATAAATGATGGATGGAAAGCCTCAGGCTCTCATTGATAACACGTGGTCTAAACTCTGCAGCCTGAATGACACCACCTGCAAGTGAATAATGGAGCCTGAATATTTAAATAACCTTTGGCAGCAGGAGAGAGTGGGTCTGTGGTGAGGTAGCTGACCTTGTGCAGCCAGGCAAGTGCAATTCTCTGAGTCAGATCATTTGTGAAGTCAGTCCTGACCACTTCCACAGTTCTGCCACGTGGGGCTTAATGAATGAAGTTCTTGCTGTCGATGCCAAAGCGTTTGGATTCATGCCTTTTGTAACTGGAGCCAGCCAAGTACAGTCTCATTATTCTTTTATTAATCAAGTAAATGCTTCATATCTGATGAGTTCCTCTCCTCCTAGGTGAATTCGAGCAGCAGCCTCATTGAAAATCTTGTTCCTGGTGCCCAGTACCAAGTTGTGGTTTATTTACGGAAGGGACCATTGGTTGGACCTCCTTCTGATCCTGTCACATTTTCCATTGGTAACCCCTGAACCTACTGATTGAAATGCATTTATTTGTTTTTAGAGTTTGTTTTTGGTTCTTTTTGTTTAAATAGGTGTAGTATGTTCAATAAGTCCTGTAGACCATGACTTGATTTTCTCGAGTTCAAGAGTAGATCTCCATGTTCTCTGCTTTGGGACTTGAAAATGAGAAGAACCCTCTGAGACTGACACTAATATTTTAAAGAAAGTGGTTTTATGTCCAACAGGCAGAGCCACTGCCCCCAGAGCTGTAATTTAGGATTCCACCAGGCTCCTATAAAGGATCTTTTAGGACAGAATTCAGTAACTTTTAGTTGCAGTGTGATTTATTTTGTTAAGACTACCACTTAAGCAAAATGTATGAAGGAGAGAAAGGGAAAAGAGATTCAGTGGAAAGTTACATATGCACAGAAATACTCAACCTGTGTCACCCAGCTTCTCCTTTTGACAAAAAGTCTGCTCAGTGGGACAACAGGTGGCTGAAAGTTAGAGATCTTCAGTATTTTTAATGCTGCTTCCTCTCTGTGATATAGGGAAGAAAGTGAAACAGAAAGATATGCTATCCTGTTAAGAATTTAATTCTTAAATAAAAGTCAGTATTTAGTCTGACTAGTATCACTAGTCAGGCCTAGTGGTTATGGTGAAAGCCTTTTCATTCTAGTCAATCTTCTAACTTATTTTCATAAATTTGGTCTGAATAAAAATTTGTAAAGTATGCTATATTTCAGGAAAGGAAAATCTAGTAAGTAAATATTTATATATACTTTAATGTTAGAATTTATATAATTGGACAGTTTTTACAAATGCTTTTGATCTTCTTTCTCACTGTAATTCAAAAATCTGAAAAATTCCACTTTTATTTGGGAAAGGAAAATAATGTATACCCAAAGTAGATAAGTTCCTTCATTTTCTCCCCTTTAGTATGGCCTTACAACCATAAAAGTTTCTTACAAAACTGCAAATGGCAGTTTCTAAATAAAACATCTCACAACTTTCTTATTATGAAGGAGCTGTTTTTATGCAGTAAAACAACAGTTGTATGAGTTTTTCATTTCATAACAGTTTCTTGATTATGATACTAAAATAACAGAACTGAAAACCAAATTGTTCTGTGAACTTAATAGTGGTGGCTAATGAAGAATGAAGCTCAAATAAAATAAAATGCACTTTGAAAAGTATTCTATTCTATCCACATTTCTCCTAAGGCTCATTTTCACTGTGTGATTGTTAGCAGTTTAGAGAAAGCAAAGTAAAAATGTGGTAAATGATTTATAAAGGTAAATGCAATCATGGGCTGATCTGGGTGCTGGCCTGGGTTCTGACCCAGTGTGCAGTAGCTGGGGCTCTGCAGCCCTGGCAAATGTTAGCTCTGTGTCCTTATTTAAGTAGCCTCAGTGAAGTCATGAAGAATAATTGCTTTCCAGACCATACAGGTTGCAGAAGTTGACCCTTACGTGACATTCTTCAAATCACTTGACTCTTTCTCAGTGTCACCGTCTGTGAGGCAAGAATAGCAATACATGACAGAACCTTTGGGTTCCCCAGGGAAGGAGGGCTGGAGATGAAAACTTCCCTTCCTTGCAGTGCTCTGGCTTTTGATGCTTTTGTTTTTGAGCATCTTGAAATATCTCCCAAGCACCCTGATTTTCAAAGTAGAATACTTTATCTCAAGCTAAGCAGCCAACACCGAGTGGTCTGTAGCCACTTCTGAAAAAGTAGTTTTAAACTGGAGAACCAATGCTTGAAAAATGTTTTTCAACTGCTTATGACCAGGAAGCTCTTGGGGATTAAAGTCATGAAAAAAAAGAAACAGATAGAACTTGATTAAGGAAAGGTATAATTTTAAAATAAAGTGCAGCTGATAGCACATGCATGTTACTAACCATAATTTCTGGTTTCTAGTGCCCACTGGAATAAAGGATCTGACACTTTACCCTTTGGGACCTACTGCTGTGGTTCTGAGCTGGAACAGGCCTTTCCTTGGGGTGTTCAGGAAATATGTGGTAGAAATGTTTTACTTCAACCCATCAACGATGACCTCGGAGTGGACAACCTACTATGAAATAGCAGCAACTGTCTCCTTGACTGCCTCTGTGGTAAAGTGACCATTCCTGCCTTGCTTTCCCATGCAAGCACCTTGTGGCACTTCTTTTCCCAGCCTTTTCCCCATGAATATGTGAATATATGTATATATATCTATATTATACACACACACATATATATATATATATGTATTTATGCCTTTAAGTCCTGGGCATTTTTTCCCCAGCAAAGCAGAGAAAATGGCCAAGGATGCTGGAGGCATTTTCTGTTCTAAAGTAAAGCACTGCCAGCTGAACCATGCTAAATTTTAAGCAGAGCAATGAGACAGGAGATTAGCCTCTTTTTTTTGGTTTGTTTTTTTTTGGTTTGTTTTTTTTTGTTATTGTTGCTGTTCAGCAAGTCCAGAGGCAGCTTCAGTTTGTGGGTCAGTCAGTCAAGGCTTTAAAAGTTCCATCATCTCCTCGGGGGGTGCAGTCCAAAGGCTTATCTACATAATTAATATTGATGGTATGGATTTGGGGCTTGCAGGCTGCTCTTGCAGTGTGCCATGTGGAAAGCTTAGCTGTGTTTTTTGTCAAAAAAATCTTCCGTGGTTCTGAAGCTGCAAAATCTTAGGCCTGGATTTTAACTAGATGAAAGCTGGGCCCTACCAGAACACACTCACACATGTATTTATTTATTCACAGGTGTCTTTGCAGATATAAAGTGAAATTTTCCTCCTCTTTTCCATTATTTCCTGGAGAAGGTGAAAAGATTTTATTCCGACTTTGCTGTAGGGCGAGACAGAAAGCGATTCCAGCGGAAATTAGTTGTTCAGAAAGTTATGAGTATGCAAAAAAGATAGCAATAACTTGTGCTGCTGGTGAGAGCCACAGTGATTTACTGTAATTGATTTGCATAATACCATTTGTGGAGTCATTTTGGCTCCAGCAGCTTTCCTGTAATTGGGTATGTGACTATAAATCTAGCACATAAATCTCCAGGGAAATTAAAAACAAAAATAACTTCCCAAACTGGTAATTAATATCTTGTAATCATGACTCAGCACAAATAGATTAATAGCTGAGTGATCTAAGTCATCCAAGAAATAAAGCTATCATGCAGAGTTAATGTGATTCATTAGAAAAGGAGATGATGTTGTCCCTTACTGTTACAAATCCTGCTCAGGGAAGTCAAGGTGGAATTCCTTTGTCTGGATTTCAATCTGAAGTGCAGCAGTGCTGTATCACAGCTGAAGTGAGCATTTCTTCAAGGATGATTGTACAGACAAATCCTGAATTAGGAAAGGAGTGTTTCTCTGTTCTTCTGTTGTGGCATTTAGTGTTCAGGTAGGGACTGGTGAATTTTTGTTTGGGCTCTCTAGTGGTGCTCCAGAATCCCACTGATCCCTATGAGCTGCTGACACCTCTGAGTAGTTTGTTCTGAAGCATCAATGAGAAGAATCAAAAATTAATGTAATCAAAAATCAAATATTATTTCCTGGAGGGTTAACATTTTATAAGAATCTGTGGAATTGGATTTGTCTTTTCACTCTGTTTAGTTGTTTCATTCATTTTGTGCTCTGTAACTCACTTGAAAATTGTCAAAGTGATGTTGGTATTTTGAGTATGACACCAGGGGCATGTCAGAAAAAGTCCAAGCATCTTCAAGATTTTGGTGTCAGTGTGGATACAACTTCCAAAAATCATGAAAAGAACAGATTGCACTACCTACATTTGCATTGCCTTGTAGTATCTGGAGAAAAAAGGGACACTGCAAACAAGAGAGATCTGTGAAAACAATTTCTACATTGTTGAAATTGTTCATTATTTTCAATTTGCTTTTATTTTGAATTTTAAAAATATCAAGAGGTTTTTCATTTAAACATCAATATCTTAAATGTTCTGTACTGTCAGTGGAAGAATCAGAATTTTAACTTAAATATTACACACAATACTATAATATAAAACACAATGCTTTTTACACTTCATTTATATCTCATTTATATTTACATATATAATTTATGTCTCATAAGTCATTTATGTTTCATTCCTATTCCATTTATAATAAATGATACTAGAAAGTGAAATATACTTGGAAAATTGGAAAAAAAATACATCTTTTGAATATCTGAGACAAAAATGTCACTTCTAATTTATCCTCCAACCCCATTTAATCAAACTAAAAACACCTGCATTTTCCAGTTAAATATTTTGCCATCATCCCACTGGAATTGTGATGGAAGGTTGCTTTGTGTGAGTGATTGTTACCACCCTGGAAATCCTCTGAGGTTCCCATGGTGGACAGAACCTGTGACCAGGTGGATGTGGATGAGCAGCAGAGCCATCACAACTCTGTTTGCTCCCCCTACACAGATTTTTTAATAAATTGAAAGGCCAAATTTCAGAGATTTCCACGGAAGGAAGGCATGGGAGCTGAGAAGAATGAGCATGGGCACTAGGTTTATAATTCCTGTTGTGTTTCAGAAGTCCTGCCTCGTGCTGGTGAGTTCTCTCCTGAGCTGCTCTTTGTGTTTTGTCCCTTTACAGAGAATAGCCAACCTGCTGCCTGCTTGGTATTACAATTTTCGGGTCACCATGGTGACCTGGGGGGACCCAGAGCTGAGCTGCTGTGATAGCTCCACCATCAGCTTCATAACAGGTAACCAGCCAGCTGAGAACAATGTGGGAGTGCTCCTGGGGGCAGAAGCACTGAGAAAATCTGACCTGGGTGCTGTGTTTCACCTACAGATAGCTGCAAGCTAGGATATTTATAGGCTAAGTGATTTTTTTGGGGGTTGTTTTTTTGTTGTTGTTTGGTTGGTTTTGGTGTTTTGGTTTTTTATTATTTTGTTTTTGAGTCTCTGAGGACTGCTTTAAATGAACACATAAATGAAATTTTCCTATGGCAAGCACAGTGCTTGATTGCTATGTTGCAGTCCTCCATCAGCTGAGTGCATGGCTCCAGTGGTCCTGCTCCACTTTTACCACACCATACATTTGACACATGGAGAAGTTAACAGATAAACAAGTAAACCTGAATTCTTGGGTTTCTCAATATTATGAAACACTTTTTCATTTACCTGCAACATTCCCAGGTGTTTTTTTTTCCTCCTTTATCACCCTCCTGGTAATCCCCAGGCCAGAGCGTGACTTGTGCAGCACTGAGGTGAGTGAGCTGATAAAACCACATGGATTTCCCTCTTCCCCCTGGGACCAGCCATGGATTTAACACACTCTGGCATCTCTTGGCAGATTCTTTGGATTAGAATCTCCAACATGTCCAACAGATCAGCCATAGAGGGAGCAGCACAAAGGAGGCCCTGTTAGCACCATGCCATGTGTTCCCAGCATCCAGGATGGTTGGGCCAAAGTCAGAGCTTTCCACTGACTCATTTTGCTTCCAAGTGTTGCTGTTTAATTCACCTTGCTGAAGTTTAGGTGCTGGAAAGCAGTAAAAATTCAGTTTTACTGTGAGACACAGTGAAGTATGACTCGCTGTTCTTTTCCATCTGTAGGAATCAAATTAGAAGGAAAATCAGGGTATAATGTCCCAGCCACTCACTCCAAAGCAGGCACCAGCCTAGTCACAGATTTTCTCTTTGGTGAGAGCTGGACAATGTACCTGAAAAAGTTGCTGAATACAACCCTTTTGTAATGATGATTTATACAGAGCCTGTGGCCCAGAGAGCCACGAGAGAAAAGCCATCAGCAGTTAAAGTTGTAGCTCCAGTGAAGTCAACAGAAACCCAGCCATGCTCAGATACCTGATCCCACATCTGCTGACAGATTCTGGCACTTTCCCAGCGTTTCAGAACCTTGTGAAGGGTCTCCAGGGATATTCATTGTCCTTTGGCATCAATCAGCTTTTCTGTAGCACTGTAAAGAAGCAATTTTCCAGCTGGTTGGTTGTTGTATGAGGGGAAAAAATGTCTTTTCCAACTGATTTGGGTACCAGGTTCAGTATTTTAGAGTGGAAACGTTCCAGTGGGATGCTTCTTTATATTGTGTGTCCAGAAACTTGGAGCAGAGATGAGGGAGATTAAGGGTCTCATGAAATATAATCTGTCATCAATACCAATCTGGATCTCTGAGTGATGACAGCAAAAACTGCTACTGCTCTTAAATGAAAAATGAATCAACTTTTTAACTAGCAGATGCAGACAAAAGCACAAATGGATGAACCTCTAAGTATCATCCATTTGTGATTGGCAAAACCTCTCTTAGAGGAGGTCATCTGGTCTTTAGTGAAAATATCCAACTGGAATGTTGCATCAATAGCTAATTTCTCTTCTTATCAAGGGTTTATACCCTGTGTTTCCGAGCTGAATTTTTCTGGTTTTAATATCCAGTCCAAAATATTTTTTTGCACTTTTACTGATTGAAGGGACCGTTCAGGCACTCTCACTTTTAGGTGTTTTCCTGTTAGTTTTTTCCCCCACTTCTGGCTCCCTAGTTTTTACTGTCTTTACTAAAGTACCTAAAAACTGAAAGTCTAATACCAGCCTGCTGAATACTCCTATAGAGGCACAATCAGCTCTCTATTCAAAGCTCTCCTGTGTGTGCATCTAGATGATTGCATTTCCTGCATCATCACACTGGAGGTCTGTGTTGATTTCTATTTTATGGCTCCTAACAGAATTTATCATTTGTTGGCTACATGCTATTTTCCAACAGACCCAACTTCACCCCTGGCACTTTGAAATTCACTTTGTTTGAGCAGGCCCAGCTTAGGGGGCAATATTTCAAAGCTCAGCCCTGTCCAAATCCTGCCCTCCTCTGCCAGTTGCCATTTTAATTGCGTGGTTCATCAATGCTGCTTTTACTTTCAGGGTATTGATGAAAGTGTTGAATAGCAATGAGGTATTAAAATCACACTGTGATTTTAAGGGAAGAGTCCTCACAAAGAAAGCTGATTTGGTCAAATTGCAAGCACTTACCAATAGATGGTCAGCACTGAATGTGAGCATTAAATGCACTCCTGTCCTCTGATTGCCTTTTTTGCTTGCAATCTCTTCAGCTTTGCCCAGGAGCTGCAGCCAGGCTAACTTGTGAGGCTTGCCAGCTTGGCATGTCTGCAGGTTTGAAATGTTTGTCCCCAGTAGGTGCTGCCTTTTCATGGCTTTAAGTTACCAAGGGACTGGTAAAGAAAGAACTTGAGAGTTCTTTCTCAGCCTCAGCCTCTTTCCTCCCAGAAAGGGAGCAGAAGGTTTTATGGAGCACTTGGTCCCTTTCTGCATCATTTTGAACAACGCCACCTCCCCTGCACAGGTTGCCAGGAATTAAAACAAACAAGCAAGAAAGCCCACCAAAAAGCCCTAAATTTTAAAAATCCTGGAGTGGAGGTTTTGTAGGCTTGACAGTACCCCATCTGCCAGTTCTGTGTGTAACTGGAGAGCCAGCCTCCACACCTGGAGCATAAACTTGAGCTTCAGAAGCAGAGTAGAAGGCTCAGCTGGGAGTTTGAGGATGCAGCTTGCAGAAGGCTCAGAGCAGACATTTCCTCAGGATCCCACTGCTCCCGTGGTGGCTGGAGCCAGGCTGGGGCCGCACTGAACTGCAGCACTTGGGGTGATGAGATGTAGCTCTCTCCCACAGCAACTGGAGAGGTGTCCCCAGGAGTGTGGGGGAGTTTTGGGAGATCCAAGAGGCTTATGAGGAGCAGAATTTGTTCTCTCAGCTCCTGCAGCAGCAGTTGCAGGCCGTTGTTTTACTCAGGGAGAGATCGTGGCGCTGCCAGTGTTGCTGTGGTGACTAATGGGTTTTTAATGCCATCTGCTGTAAACAGCTGGATTTAAAACAACCATGAACTGTTTAGAACACCAGCATCTGCTTTTTACAATGAGGATGCTTTTATCTTTGGAGAAGCAAAAGGAATGAGCAAGGCTCCTGGTGCTGATGACAGCCACCATGTGTGCTGCCTGTTGGTCCCATGGGTGGCTTCTGGCCAGGTCAGCAGCAGGGTGTGACTTCCCACAGCCTCTCTGTGCTCCCCAGAACCTTGGGGTGGTCACACCAGCCCTGGCCCCTGGTCTCATTTGACATACCCTGGACATTCACTGTCGTGAAAGCATACCATGAATAATGAGGTGCAGGGGGAAATCATTATTTGTGTATGAGATTCATGTCAGTCATGGCCTTAAGCTGCAAGGAATACACAGTCCATGCACAGGGATGGACAGGGAACTTTAATTTCTTTTAATTTAAATTACTTTTATTTAATTTATATTTCTTTCAATTTAAAAATCAAAAGTAACACTGCTTTAAGGATTTTATACTAAATAAGGTTGCTTCTCCTCAACAGCACAAAACGATATTTTCAAGATTAATTTGGGAGAATAGTCTTACTAAACATTTCTAAATGGCCCTAAATTGTCTGTGCATTGCCTTTACTTCAGTAAACCTGTTCTCTAACACTCCTCTCAATGCCAAAGTGGAAGGAGCCTTTGTGAAAGCAGCAGTGACATCTTGTGGTCCCTTCCAAGAGACCCGAGCTCCGAGGCCATCCTGCATCCCTGTCCCCCCCAGCTGTGCTGGCATCCAGGGCTCTGCTCATCTGCCTTGGCACGAGTGCTCTGGACACAGCAGGGCTTGTGCAGAGGAAGACCAGGCAGTTCACACCATTTCCCCAACCCTGCTCCTCAAGAGCTGGCCAAGCACAGAGATTCATACCTTTCCCTCTTGTATCCAGGTTTTCCTACTCATATCTCCAAGGGAAGGCATTGAGATCTTCACTGACCACTGATTTTCACTTCTGGGTCTCCATTCACTATTAATTTAATTTAACTTAACTTAATTGCACCTTTGAATTTGGCAGTCAAGGTCAGCTGGCCAGCTGTGCTCCCTCTACAGTTCATAGCAGCTCCCAGAGGGAATCCTCATCTTAAACACCTATTTTAGGAGGAGAGGAGTTACTCTGGAGGTTGCTGTCTTTCTGCAGGTCTCAGCTGATGAGAGAGCCAGCCAGGGAAGGTGGCTGAGTCCCAGTCCTTGCTTGGGAGTGGATGTGGTGCTGAGGGACGTGGTTTGCTGGTGGATGTGGCACTGCTGGGTTGTGGTTGGCCTCACTCCTGAAGGTCCTTTCCAGCCTGAGTGACTCTGTGTTACGAGGGCTGCAGAGAGAGCCAAGGCCCTGCTGGCAGCTCCAGAACACAAAAACCCCTCTTAAGAAACCAAATGGGTTCTAATGGGGCCTTTTTTTCCTCCATTCCACCCTGGAAACAAAGGTGGTCATAACTTCTCATGCAAAAGTTGCTCTTTGGAAATCTGCAGGGTTTGGACTTTTCCTCCTAGAAATATGCAAGCTCAGTGAAAAGATATTTCTTTTCCTATAGAAAACCTATAAATATAACAATTTATTATTTCTTTTCAGTTCACTAACACAGTGAAGCAACATGTGAGGCTTTTAACTTGAATTTGAATTCAACTTGCAAATGTGACAAAAAGTTATTTCTATCTGCCATGATTTTTTATTTTAAACTAAAAGATGGCAAAAAGAAGTGTATTTTTGTTCTGATTATAGGTTAAATTATGGTTTTCATATCCTTCAGCTAGTGCTTAAATGTAGAAGCTGCTGATGTTCCTTTCCTGATAGCTTTGTGATATTCTCCTCATGACAGCATCCTTTGGCAAAAGTTTATCACTGGATTTGCTAACCAGCCGTGTTAGCCCCTGTCTGTAACACACTTGCCTTCTTCCCTCAGCACCAGTGGCACCCAAAATCACCTCTGTAGAATATTACAACCACCTTTTGTATGTCACCTGGACCTACGGAGGAGATGGGCCCGACCTTTCTCATTCCAGGATGCTGCACTGGATGGTTGTTGCAGAGGGAAAGAAAAAAATCAAGAAGAGTGTAAGTATCAGTGTGGAAAATGGGTGGTGTTCATTTCTTCAGGTTTTTTGTGAGGTTTTAGGTGGTTTTTTTTGTTTTTTCTGGGTTTTTGTTCAGTTGGTTTATTTTCCTGAGTTGATAAGTCAGAAAAACTTCCACAACTCTGATAACTTTGTATTATTAAGTTCCAGCAAGTTTGGTAGAAGCCAGTAAAAGTTATTTCCCAGTGCTAGCATGCACCTCCAAAGACTGGAGCCCTGAAAACAGCCAGTGGACAAAGTGTTTCTGTCGTGATCTAGTGAAGGTGTTGATAATTTATGTAATTTTAATGGAGCTTAAAAACTTCTCAGCTTCAGACAGTAAAACATAAAGAGTATTCTTTTATACAGCTATGGTATTTTCTGTTTATATTTATTAATAAACAGAGCAAACTACTGGCTGAGTTTTTTTAGTTTGTTCAAATACTGTCACTTCCCACTTTCTGACTTTATCCTCATAAATTCCCTGTTCTTCATTTTATGTTTGAATACGAGCTCCACTAATTGATGGGATGAGGATTTCACCCAGAATGTGCTGAGAAAACTTGCTAGATGCTCAAGTGTGCTCTTTGTACATTCTCTGGAGCATTTGGAAAACTGGAAGTTGTATTTTCAGCAGAAGTGCAAGTTTGCCACCAATTTTCATTTGGCTTTGTGTGGAACATCCTGGCTTTTATTAGATTCCTTGTGGTTGCAAGAGTGCACCATGGAGCTTGTTGCAGCATGAATCTAATTATATGATTAGGAGAACTGCTAACCTTTGTGAGAAGCAGGAACTGCCAGGATTTGGATCCTTACTTCAAACAGGGAAGAAAACTTAATTTTTGTCCTACAAATAAAATATTCTGTCAATTGAACTCCAGAACCAAAATTTCACAATGCTATCCCTCTCATCTCTTGCTTCAAAAAGTCATGTTTTCTGTAAGCTTATTATTCTTTCAGGAAAAAATCTGATTTCTGTACCATCCAACAATATGAAAATGGTAGATTAAATAAATATAAAATAAACATTTCATATCAAAATTGAAGTCAATTGAAAGCAAAATTGAATATGTAACTTCAGATTAAACAAAATATTCGAATTAGAGAGTATCTACAATATAGTATATCTATAAATAAAACTTTAAAGCTTTAGGGATGTCTTTACAAATGCTTCTCTTTATAGTCCCTTATATTTATATATATATATACACACACACACACACAATATATATATATATACACACACACACCTACCTATTTCTAGCTAACTTTTATGGTTCTGTTGATATGGATGAGTGTGTGTACACATCTGGAGGCTTCAGGGTGTGCCTGTTCTCCCAAGCTCTGTTAGTCACTCTCAGAAACTGCTCCCTTTAAAACTCATGCTATATTGTAATACCATAATGTGATTTTACTGTGATTGTTAGTATAGTTATTTTTCCTGTGGCTTTATTGAAATAAATAGGTAACACTGTCAGAAAATGGTGACTTTTTCTTCTTGCTGCCAGTGCATTTCCCAAGACTCCACAGAAGCTGGTCAGTTTTTAGAGAAGTGATGAAAATTATGTACAAAGCCCTATTGGCCTTTATTCAGAGTGCTTCAGTTTCTCTTGTATTTGAAAGCTTCAGCCTGAGAATCAAGTTAAAAACCAGCATGAGATTCTTGAATGGGTCCTTTATAGATAGTCCAGAATTGCTCTGAAAAACAGCGTGTTCCAAGTTCTGCATCCTTCTCCACGACTGGAGAAATGGGAAGATTACCCTAAAATAAAAAGAAGTTACTCTCAGTCTTTTGAGATTCAGCTCAGTTTTGGATCTGGTTTCAACTTGCAGATGATTGAAGCCAGACCCTGAGATCCACTGTCAAGTCAACAGGTCTCCAAGAGGTGTTAGACTTGCCCAGATGGATTTAATTTTCAGGTCTGTAGGATACATAAAGGCTTGCCTACACATGGCTTGTGTGCTCTTCTATGAGGTGTCTGACCTGATTTAAATTCCTCTAAAACAGCAATAGACTCAAGTCCACGGCTTGTTCAGCATTTTGCACAGCTTGAGGAACCTAGATGCTCTCAGTGGTGTGAGGGAGAATTTATTTTTTCTTTAAATTTTCACTGGTCACATAGAAAGTGCAGCCAAAAAATGTCTTCTTTTTGCATTGTGCTCTTCTGGTTTCGTGGGTGATATCAGTGGGAGCTGGTTGATGCCACAAGCCTGGAGCATGCAGAAGACATCTGCTGTGATGCACAGGACTTTCTCTGTAGTATTTTGAGTGACCAGGTTCATTCTGTGGGGCAGTTGTATGGTTTGTGCCATGTTTAAGCTGGTGTCTCTTGATTGTTCAGGTAACACGCAATGTGATGACTGCAGTGCTGAGCTTGCCTCCAGGGGACATTTACAACCTTTCAGTGACTGCTTGTACTGAAAGAGGCAGCAATACTTCCATGCCCCAACTTGTGAAATTGGGTAAGAAGTGCTTGTTCATAAATTATTAACTCACCCCACTCATTTGACTAAAGTAACTCTGTCAGCAGATATGCAGCACCTTCCTTATTTCAGTTATGTACCTGTGAGCCCATTTCTCTTGCCAAGCTGCAATTTTCACCTCACCTTGCTGTGAAGATTGTCTCATGCCTGTGTGTGAAGCTACTCTCCTAAAACAGTTCTGCTCAAGAGTGGCAAAATTTGACTGTAAATGGAAATAGGAGAGTGGAAATCACTTAGTGGCTTGCTGAGAGAACAAGTCAACTTCATAGTTGCTTGTCTAAGGTTTTGATCACATGTAGGTTTTGAAAAGGGGCAACTCAGGAATCACAAATGAACTTTTCACTAAAAAGCAGAGCCTTCCTTTCTACCTTTCTGTTTCTGGCAAGACTATTTCTACATCTCTCTGCCACTTGGTCTCCTTTCCTGTCTCCCCTCCTGGACATCTACAAAGTCTTTCTACACCAAAATCTTACCCTTAAATACAAATTAACGATAGCATTCTTTATAAAAATAGTCAGATTTGTGAATGGGGAAGCCAGCTTCATTTTTAGAGAAATATGTGTAATATACTCATAAAAACAAAAGAAAACTCGAGAGCATGATCTTTAATGTAAAAATTTCAAATTTTCAAATTTTTCAAAAGTTTCAAATTAGTTTCTACCTAATATCTTTCTTCACTTGGGAGGAAGGCTGGACACTGCACCATTAAGAAATGTTAATTCTCTTTTGAGTGTATGTGGAGTTGTTGAGCCCTAGGTACCTGAAACACTGTAATTTCCAGGTGTGCCAAACTGCTTTTACAGGCTTTAGCTCCACTGAGAAGGTGAGTAAGGAAGAGTTTGTAATTTCAGAGTGGATTATCCTCTCTACATGAATAATAATCCTTTTGTGAGTCACTTTGAAGAGAAGTGAATTTAAAGGACTCTATAATTTCTAATTGGATTAGATGCCTTGAAAACAAGCACTGTCCATTGATGTTTCTCAGCATTCTTAACTCACAGTGCTGAGGCAAACTACAGACAAAACAACCTGAAGTTCTTGCAGGTCTTCTTACCAAAGGCAATATTTGAAAGACACAGACAAATTCCATGAGTTTTCTTTTCCCTGTGCAAACCATATCCACTGTTTACCCCACGCCTTGTGGCTCTGCATTTGTTCCTGCTGACCAAGTGGGTGAATGTGTAGGGAGTGCTATTACCCCTGCTAGCATTGTCCAAATATTTTAGGGTGGTAATTCAAAACACCAGCTAACTTTATCTTTCAGACAGATCCACAAGCTTTATCCATGTTGTACACCCTGCAGCAGAGTTGTTCCTGTTCTTTCCTTATGGATGGACACTCTTACTGGGCTTGGATGGGTATTTTGGCCTTCAGTAACAACAAAGAGAAGGTGGAATGAATTCCATTCCAATTCTAATTCCTTCTAGACTTTTGGGTGTGGGTTTTTCTGTTGGGTTGAGTTTGATTTTCTTCTTCTTATTATTATTATTTTTTATTTTCCTTTATGATGTTTGAACTTTGAACAGACAAAAGTGGGGATGTTTTGCCAGAGGTTTTCCCTCTCTCTGTTTCTGGGGGGAGCAATGGGAGCTGTAATTAGCAGTAGTGGAAGCTGACTCTAAGTGATAGACGACTCAGCACTTGGCAGTCACTTAAACATTCCTGCCAAATGTTCTTCCCTCCACGATGTTTGCTTCATCCTGGCAACACTCCACCTGCAGAAAAATCAAGCCATTTGCTGGAAGTAAAAGGAGGATTTGCTTGGGGTGCTGCCCAAATGCAAAACTCGTGTTTTAATTAAGGCCATTTTTTTTTTTACCTGGAGTGAGGGATAGAATGTGTTTCTGAGTCCAAGAGCAGATATATGTGTGTAATTATGGGAGAGGGACACTTTCCTGTGTAGCACTGGGACAATATGGGCACTCCAAGCCCCCTGACACACGGGAATGTGCCTCAGTCCCTGCCCAACTCTTTCCATAATGCCAATATGGCTTGGGCAGACTCCAACCCCAGAACACAGATCTGATTGTTTCAGGATCAGATATGTCTCCAAAATGTCTATAACTACTTGAGCAAGTCCCTTGTGCCAAGGTTCCTGTGACAGCATCTCACAAAATGAGGATAACCAATTATTTGTGAAAGGAAAAAAAAAACCAACCCAGAATGTTCTTGTGCATCACCCATTGTATGTAGTGTGTCAGAACCCAAAATAGGGTAATTGTTTGAGAATTACAGCTTTAATTAAACATCCACAGAACAGGAGATCTGTGCAGAACAACTCAGAAATGTACAAACCAAATGTTACAGTCTCTGAAGGCAAAGCAGAGCAGCCCAGGAGGCCTGAGGTGTGCAAAGCTGGGTAGCACTGTGCTTAGGCTGTTTGTTCCTCTCCTGGTCCTCAAGATTCTCTCTACTGTTCCATGCTTTCTGGTCCACAGGCTGGGAAATGGCCCTGGAGGCAGCAGCCAAGGCCACTGGACATGGGGACAGGGGTGCAGACCCCCCTCCATGTTTCACAGCATTTCTGATGATCCCAGGAGACCCTCCATCTATCACTCTTGTCACAGGGCTGTCCCCTGCTCAACAGACATGTATTTGTTTGCCTGTTGTCACTTCCACCAGCACAAAAGCAATGAAAATCAAAGTAATGAATTGAGGACCTCTGGAGAGCTGGACCTCTGAATTTCTACAACTCATGGAAGTCAACACACATCCAGGAGCCCTTAAATGTTAGCCAGAGGAGGGGGGGAAAAAAAAAAAAAAGACAACAGTTGTTTGGTTTTTTTTAAACTGGTAATTGGCTAAATATTTCCTCTTCTGCAATTAAAGGAACCTAGGCAGCCTTTCCTTGTGGGAAGCTGCTTCGTTATAGGCTCCTGTGAAGAAAAGCCTTCTCAGGCCAAATGTGTTGCTAACAGGTGGACAGTGATCTTTTCTGGAGGGGTTCCTGCTAACATTGCTCTATTAATAGAATCCACTGATCATCCTCAAACAAGGGCTCTGCTGAAAAGGGAAGTGAAGTCATTATCCATCTGTCCAAATAGAGAACGGTTTAAATAGAGAAGAAAAACCAACACACTTCATCATCTTCCCATTTTACAGTGGTAGTTTGTCATCATGAGAGGATTTACTTTGGTAGACTTTATCTGAAGGAAATGAAAGATAGAAGGGAATCAGGCCTTGCTTTCAATTTTTTCATTTTTCTCAGTTGTCTTGAAACTTAAAGATAAGCTTAATGAAAGGAGATTTTTCTCTTACACCAGAACCAGCCCCTCCAAAATCACTGTTTGCTGTCAACAAGACTCAGACCTCTGTGACTCTGCTGTGGGTGGAAGAAGGAGTAGCTGATTTCTTTGAAGTCTACTGCCAGCAGGCTGGATCTGGCCAGGAAACAAAAGTCCAGGTATGTGTGTGTCTCTTCTTTGGTGTCCACTCTTCATCCCAGAATTAAACTTCTAAAGGCTAAATTACTAAAGCTACATTTCAAATAGTAAAGTATTTTACTTGTTTTGCAATATTAAGGTTGTCCTCTGTTTTATGGGTGAGATTATATTGGTTGGAGAGAAATTGTGTGCATTCAGAAGTGTCAGTGGAATTGGCTACACATGGAAATGTAAAACCTAACAGGCCACAAAACTAAGGGAATGCCAATGAGGAAGAAGGGAAAAATGGTCAGGTAGCTTCATAAGGAATAGGAAAAATAGATGTCATGAGGTGTCATGGGATGTCTGTACAGTATCTAATTATTTAAATTTAAATTTATTTAAATTATTTATTAATAAAATATAAATGATTTAATAATTTATTAAGTAATTTTATTTAAATATTTAAATATTTACTTTATTCCTGGTTTTGAGATCTGTTAACTGAAGTTCAGTAGGAGCTTCATTGCTATTCCAAGAGTACCTTTATGCAAATGTGGCAAATGTGCAAATGTGGCTGCTCCTCATTTAATAAATGTGATGCATTTTATCTCAGGGTATTTTCTTCAAGACCCATTTCCTGAACCTCACATATGAACCTCCCTTTCTCTCTGTCCAGTCAGGTACCTGTGCTCAGCAGTCAATTTAAATATAGAGTATTTAAATGGGGAAAAATAGCAGTAGTAATTTTAATTCCTTGACATTCAATGCTGTGCAACATGTGAGGTTTACTTTGTGCTTTAGCTGATGGTATAATGAATCACTCTGATTACATGCCACAGAACATTATTCTCTCTTGTGGACTGTGACACTTCATGGGGAATCATTCAGAAAGAAGTGAAAAATTACCTACTTAAACCACTGATTACCACAAAAGATTTGCACACTCTTTAATCCTATGGAAGATCAGTCTGAATTATTTAACATTCTTTTTAAATTGAGACAGACAGTGGCTAAAGGAAAAAAAAAATGCTTACATGCTCTTTAATCTTTTGGATAGTTTAGATTCCACATCTACATTCCTGCTTTTTCACCCTGAATAGCAAAGGTCATTGTCATCACTTGCCAAAGATTCAAAATAGTGATGAGATCAGGCAAGGAAAGTACCAGAGGATCTGCAACTCCAGCTCAGGGCAGATCTGTTTTAAGAACATCAGGAAAAGACTGCTTCATTTGGCAGATGCTTCAGTGGGTGTCCCAGTTGTTGACAGGAACATCTGGCACTGGATAATGCACAGAGATTGTCCTCTCACTCCTCATTAGATTCATCACTCTCTTTTCTGTCTCCATGAAAAACTGGGAAGGGCTCATTTCTGAACTATAAAAAGGGATGCTTTCCAAGTAGAATAAGAAGTCTTTGTGATTTTCCATGCTAATTACATGAACATTTTTGTCCTTTGCCTACGTCTTTAAATCAATGAAATGAAAAGCAACAGCTTTCCGATTTTGAACATCTTGGGTTTCAGTTGACTAATTTAAATTTCCCAGAGGGGAAAATGGAAACACCCAACCAAGTCCAAATGCCAAAGTGTGGCTCCTCCTTTCAGCTCAGGCAATAAAAGTCTCCTCCTTTACACTCATGTGCATGTGGTTTCATCTGCATAATGTACCTCAGAATTGCTCTGCAGCAGGAGCTTAGAATTGACTGACAACAGGCTCTTGCAAATATCCAGTGCTTGGGACTTGTTACAGCACCTTGCATTCCCCATCTGGAACAGGTTCATTCATAAACCTTCTCCTTCTTTCCCATCTCCTTCTTTCTTCTGGCTCAGTGTTCCTGTTTTTACAAGTGTAACCCTGGTTCTGCTGGACAGTCCAGAAAAATGAGGGCCTTTAGGATCTGTCTCTTTATCTCAGTGCATATGTTTTTCTTGCTTTGTTTGTTTTCTCTTGCTCTATCAACATTTTAAATCCACAAAAGTGTTTACATAGTAATTAACACATTGTATAAATATGGTAGGGTGTTTGATCATAATTATTACCAAAAGACTTTGCTCTAGCTTTGTTTTTCACCTCAGCCACTCAAAAGGGCTCACAGGTCTCCACAGCCAGAGGAGCTGCCTCACAGGCAGAGATGACATGCATTCAAATCAGAATTGTGATTTCATTTGTGGCAGAGGTTGGGACTTCCTTGGCTGTTCTTTGAATGAAAATAACTTGGTTTTCTCCTACCTGTGTAGCTCAGAAACCAGAGCTCATGAGCCATGCCCGCCTCTGGGATGTGCTGGAGGTCACAGTGCTTTCCCCTACCAAGCATTGTGCCTGACCAGCTCACTCTGGGGCACAAGTCCTTTCCTCCCCAAAAGGCTCTGGGGTCCCTGGAGTGATCCTGGGATGTGGAGATGAGAAACAAGGCATGGGACCACCTTGCTTTGAGATGATTTATTGCTCTCAGATAAGATGTCAGTCTGAAGGGGTGAGATTTAGAGAGGAGCAACAAGTCAGCCATAGCTCAAGGTAGTCACGGGTTTCTTCATCACACAGCAATACAGAACATTTTGGTCCAATAAAAAATGGAATAAATAAAAAATGAAATGAAACTTGTTTTTATTTAATAACCTATCACCTTTGCTTAATTTTGCCGCACTGTGTCTGTCTCTTAGCCAATAAGCTGACAGGTCATGTACTCATACACACACCTCTGTTACAGCTTCTAAATCCCTAACCTGCTCTATAAATCACATTATTATAGCTCAGACCTCCAACTATTTCACTTTATATAATTTCTTACTTAATTTCTTACTAGGAACATAAGTTTATAATTTCTCTACCCAATGTCTGTGTACTTTCATCATTCCATTAACCCAAACTCTTTCCAAGGCCGCAGACTGAACCCTTCAGCATCTGTGGAATTATCTGTTTTTCTATTTCCCACACTGATAAGCTGTGCCCACCTCTGGGATGTGCTGGAGGTCACAGTGCTTTCCCCTACCACGCGTTGTGCCTGACCAGCCCACTCTGGAGCACACATCCTTTCCTCCCCAGAAAGGCTCTGGGGTCCCTGGAAGTGCTCTGGGATGTTCTTACAGCCACATTCACCCCTGTTCCTCTTTCCTGGTTTGCCTTTCCTGTGTTTCAAAGTGCTGATTTCTTTCTCCAAATCTCCTGTCAGGTATCCAGAGCACTGATCTGTGCTCTCACATTAAGGGGAGAGACAAACCCCTGTGTTTTTCCCCACATTTGCAGGAACCTGTGACGGTCTCTTCACACGTTGTGACCATTTCCAGCCTGACCCCTGCCACCTCCTACAACTGCAGCGTGACCACCTTCAGCCACAACAGCCCCAGCATCCCCACCTTCATTGCAGTTTCCACCATGGGTAAGCAGCACTCCCCTGCTTTCTTCCTCTTCTTCCTCATCCAGATACATCTGTTTCCCCTTGCTTTCTAAAGCTGCACTTGGTAATGCTGGCCCCAGGGGCTGTTTGCATCATGAAAAGGCTACAGGATGGGATGGGATGGGATGGGATCCATGGGATGGGATCCATGGGATGGGATGGGATGGGATGGGATCCATGGGATGGGATAGGATCCATGGGATGGGATGAGATGGGATCCATGGGATGGGATGGGATCCATGGGATGGGATGAGATGGGATCCATGGGATGGGATCCATGGGATGGGATGGGATCCATGGGATGGGATGGGATCCATGGGATGGGATCCATGGGNATGGGATGGGATGGGATGGGATGGGATGGGATGGGATGGGATGGGATGGGATGGGATGGGATGGGATGGGATGGGATGGGATAGCAGCTTTGGAAAGCCCTTAGAAAAGGCCCCACTTGACTTGGAAAAATGTAACTTGGGGGCTCCATTGTGTACTGGGTTTTAGAAATCAGGGGTGTAGTTTGTGGTGCCAGTGCTAAACATCAGGTACTGCTGCTGTTGGACATGAAATGATTCACATGGTTCAATGTATGATAGGGAAAAAGAAGGATTTTATTTCTGTGACTGCAGTATTTATAGATTCTCAATAATAACCAGGGATTGGACAGTTAGGTTACCAGCTTCCCAACCACACTGGTGATGAGAAAAGTCCATCAAAAGACGTTTATTTAAAAAAAAAGTATAAACATCTATGTTTATAATTACTTTCCTGGGAAAGTAGCTAGAAACTATGAAAACAAGATCAAAATGTTTAATTTTCAGAGCAACAGGGTACTGCTTGATGATATTTATGGAGGAAAATGTTTCCTCAGCCAAGCCCAAACAAGAGGAAAATCACTTTCATAAACTGTTAAGGCTTTCTGCATTCAGCAGAGAGAAGAAAGGCCTCTGCAGGATCTTCAGCAGTCACAGCCAAAAGGCTCCTGAGGGAGGATCCCTGAGCATTTCATTTTCCAGAATAATTAAGCAATTGCAACCCAATTACAAAGCCCCAGCTTATTATTTTGCTTCTGAGTCAGAAAAAGCATTGATTATTGTTGAAGAACAACTTCAGAGTGGAAAAGTGCTTTGGAGACATTGATGATGATGTATATCTGTATTTTGTATTACCTTCAAAATTTTCCCTTGTGTTGTAAATGTCAGCTGGAAAGGATAAAAAAATAATAATAAATCACAACATGTGAAAGTTTAACAAAAATGCCAGAGTGAAGTCATTTCCCCAGAGAAATTTTTCTAAGAGCAATAGCTACTCAAACTCTCCCTTTATCTCCTGTGGTAGATTTTTCTCCCTCTAACACTTCAGGCTCTTTGAGATAAGTTTAAAAAAACAGCTTTATCAAAACTCAGTGAAAAACAAAACAAAACAGAAATGTCAGTGCTTCTGAAGTGAATAACTGAGAGTCATTTTCTGCATGTACAGTCAGGGAGATGAACCCCAATGTCGTGGTAATCTCCGTGTTGGCCATCCTCAGTATCCTCCTGATTGGACTGCTGCTGGTCACTCTTGTTGTACTCAGGAGAAAACACCTACAGATGGCCAGGTAAGTCCAGATTGATACTAATTACAATAAAGAAATAAAAATAAAATTTAAAAAAAAAATATATATATATTTATAAACATATATATATATATATATAAATAAACACATCAATAAAAATAATAAACTAATAAATTATAATAGTACCTATATAATAAATATGCAATATATGATCATAATATAAAATATATTAAATGGATCCTTTATTAATATATTTTTATTTTATTTATAGGGAAAATGTAAATAATATAACATGTAAATAATCATGTAAATACTATATTTTTATAAATATTATTAATAATATAACAAATATATAAATATATAAATATATAATTATATATTTACAATATATATTATAAATATATATTATAATATATTATTTTATAATATATATTATCTATATATAATTAATATAATATAATAGTAATATTAGAATATTATATATAATATATAAATAATGTTATATATTATATAATATATAATTTATATGATATATAAATATAAAATTTTATATATTAAAATTATATAAAAATTATAATTATATATAAAATATATTTTTCTATTATATTTGTATTAAATATATTTAAAATAATATCTAATAATGTATATCTTATATATAATACATATTATATTATATATAAAATAATCTAATAATTTAATAATGTTATGTATAATTTATAGTAATAAATATTTTATAATAAATAGAAACAATTGTTTCAGCTGAGAATGCTTTTGTGTGTGGGTGCTCAAACAATTGTTTCAGCTGAGAATGCTTTTGTGTGTGGGTGCTCCTTAAGATGTTTGTGAACAGGGTGCCTTCAAAAGAGTTGTTTTGCTGCTGCTGAACACATTTTCTTCTCTACTTTCACTCTTGACCTGATTGACAAGCCTCAACCTTTGTTTCACTTTGAGCTTTGCAGGACTGAGTCCATGAGTGCAGTCACACAGCACAAAAGGCTTGTGGCAGGAAAATTAATGATAATTAGGATCTGAGGCAAATGGGCACGAGCAGGACATCAAGGCTCTTTGCAAGCCTTTGTTATGATTTGGAACAGGAGATATTTCCATACAGATAACATTTTCTAGAATCTTTCTCTCACCATTTGCCAGTCTGCACCAATCATTTCTAGCTGAATATTGAAATTCAATTTCCTTTTCTAGGTGATCTTACCTGCTGCAGTTCACTTTAATGTGGGTTGTTATGTGAGCTGTGGAAGTTTCCCCAAACCCTTGATAATTGCTTTACCTACTGCTTTTGAAGGTGTCACAGAGTCTTTGTCCTTTTATAATCTATGTAATACATTTTATATTCATTTACTGTGTCAAGAAAGGAAATTATTTCATGGAAAAACAAACTTATGTAAAAAATCTCCTATTTAACAGCTTAGGAGATGCTACATTTTGTGTGTTGTGTCCTGTCCATGTATTCCATGCAACAGATGACCACATCACACACATGTTTCAGGTTATCTTTTTGAGAGAACATTACATGGTTTGTCCCTTTTGCATGTAACTGGCTCACTGAAAATCCCAGCTAAATTAATTCTCTTTCCTATTTAATTGCTGTGCAGCCAGCCCAAAGCTTTTTCTCTTCATCACTGCTTCTAGCCACAGAAGATAAACACCCCAGAAGGAAATTTAAAAAATAAATCCAGTAAGAATCTGGATTATTTTAAGCAATTGTTTGCTTAAATCAATAAAACAGTCAAGTTAGTTTATAATTTGTAGCTGAAAATAATGTGATAAAGACACTACTGAATGTTATTCAGGATCTTTTTTTCTTTTCCCTGCAGTTATTTTTGTAACTCAAAATTACCTGTAATTATCCTGCAAAAAGGACACAATTAGAAAACTTCTTAGAGTGGGAAGAGTGAATATTTACTATAGAAAAATAAATATTTAACATGTACATATAAACCATTGCTAGTTCTAGGTTATGAAAGCACAAATCTGGACAGAAGATAAGCTCCTATTTGAGAATTTAATTCTTTTGAAGCATTTTTAGGCAGTTTGATCTCAGGTGGTGTTCACATTTACTGGTTTTGGACAACTGCATTAAGGGGTTTTAGTTTTGTTCATTACAGATTATCCCAGACCTAGTCACAGATGTGGTTGTTCAGCACTTCCCTGCAACTCCAAGAGTTCTCTGATAAATCAAACTCTTTGCAAGTGCTGTGAATCCAAAAATAATAACTTTTTGCCTAATGGTTTTTCTGGAACAGGGAGTGTGGGGCTGGGACCTTTGTGAATTTTGCATCTTTAGAGAGAGATGGAAAGCTCCCCTATAACTGGTGAGTGTTTGAAGCAAAGTTTATGTTCTTTCCCCATCTCTGCTTTTTAGCAAATGTTATCTGTATTCTTAAAGTGCTTATTTTTTGTCTCATTGCTGTCCCTCTTTAGGATAAAACTGCTAGGTTTGTTAATGTTGTATTTTATTCCATGAATGTGTTTTATTTCTTGAATGATGAGACATGCATTCTGTCACCTGCTATTTTTAGTAGGCAGTGATGTATTTGCATGTCAGCCAAGTTGCATAGATGTGTTTTGGGAGGATTTTTTTTTTCCCCCTTTCTCTTAAAGATATATTTCCTAAAATAACACAGCTGTAGAAACTTGATCTATAAATTCATTAGCACTTCTATAAATTTACATCCAGGAGCAAGCTTATTTGTAGATGACTAATTACCAGTTGTCAGTGCCTTTAATTAATATTTCCTTTCATTACAAGACAAGGACAAGCCAACTTAAATATATACTGTAACTTAATGTTCAATGCTGTTGGAAAAAATTACAAAAAAAAACCCCAAAAAACCCTAAATATATCTTTCTAATCTAGAAAATCACCTGCAAGCGTTGCAGGCACTGATATGGACTCTTAAATCATCACTGTCACCATCAGCTGAAGAGAATTATTTGAACAAAGAAAATCCGTAGGATTAACTTTATATTATATATTTTTATATATATATTTAAATAGATTTTATTATATTTTTATAATTTATGCATTATATATTTATATATTATATATTAATATTATATATTCACTTTATAGAAGTAAAAGGCTGTGAGAACTGCCTGACTGGCACCACTGTGGTCATTTCCATGCCTATTTTAATAATCACATGAGTGGTAATGACAAGACCCAAGGTTTACTGCTCTGTTGTTGGCAATCTCTACAAAAACTTCAAGGCAAGTCCAAACACAGATATTTAACAGCATGACATCAGCCCCATTCCAGTAGGTCAGAAGAAAATACATGTCTTTACACCCATGGTCAGCTTTGCTGCCAGCTGAGAGGTTGGAAAGAAAAGTTGGTGCACAGGGAACCCCTTCCATGACCTCACAGGACACAGCCTGCCAGCAAAACTGGGATTAAATGCATTGACACTGCACCACCACAAGCCTTTTGCTAATAAACCTGCAAACTAAACTAACAAAGCCAGCAAATCTTGTCAATATCTCACTGTGCTGCTAATTAACTGGGTATTAAACAAGCTTCACTTGCTTGCTTTAGCTTTAATAGCAGCCAGCTGTGTGCAGTACAAATGAAACCATGCCTCAGCTTCTCTTGCTTGGACTGTATTAATGGCAAAAAAGTCAGAAGATCAAACACTCATGTTAATTAAATAGCCAAGCTTGAATGAAATTATTTAGCTAGCAACAGACATTATTAAAATCATAAAAGGCTTTTTTTTTTTTGCTTTTTTTTTATGGGAAGGGAATTAATAGGTTTGGATATGAAAGTGAAGGCTCTTGTTGCTTAATTTAGTTTTTATATGTATGTGTGTGTGTGTGCATATATATATACATACATAAATTAACTTATAGAAATATAAACTGAGGAAAGAATTCCTGCTTAATATCTCCACAAATTTTTTGTAACTAAAGGCAGTGTGTCCTTATGGTCCTTATTTCTCTGAGAGTTGTTTTGTGGTGTGCCTCTGTTGTCTAATGTCAAGAGCAGATTCACAATCCATCAAGGCAGCCAGGTGGGAAATCTGACCCTAAAAACAGAGAGAAGGATTGGCTCATTCCAGGGATCTAGTCAGGGAGCAATGGGCATATTCACTAATTCCAAAGGGAAGCTCAGCAGAGTTTTCAGGACTTGAGCAATCTCTTCATCTTTCTTTTAATTAAGTTGTTCCCTATGCCTAAGCAGGATGTGAAACACTACATGATGGCAGAAAAAAACAGGATTGTATTTCTTAGGCAATTACACATTCTTCATATATTGAATTAAATCAATTGGTTTAGTTGTCAGAGTGCCTAGTCTGTGAATATAAACCAATTTGCAAATACGTTAGCCAGTGATTTGATAAAGTGTGGAAAATTCTTGTCAGGATTTGACAGTGAAAGAAGCCCAGGCTTGAATAATTCCTTCAGCCTCTGCAGGCAAGAGGAAGCAAAAGCCTCACGTGGAGTTTCTCAAAGGAAAGAGAAGTATTCCAGCAACATCAGCACTTATCTCTCCTGAGCCTGATGGAAACCTCTGTGGCACCAGAGATCTGTTTATGGAAAGCCAAATTTCATCCTCAGTCCAGCCCCATAGAAACTCAAAGAACAGATGAGGTTTAAGGCTGTGACTCTGCAGTTTTTGTGGTGTATGATTAACCAGAAAGGGCTTTTGCCTCTGGCTGAGCCACACAATTCCTACCAAAGCCCAGCAGAAACTGCTCTGCCCCTTCCCTCTACAGCAGCAAAACTCATTCAAGCATTGGAGTTTTCATGGACAGAAGATTTCCTCACTGGTTTGAAGGCTGAGATTAGAGATGATTACATTTGACTTGACTTATTTACCAGGGAAAACACAGTATCTAACAACTTCATAAGGGCCAAGGGTTCTGAACAAGGAAATTTGTGTTTCCTCTTTAGAACAGCTGCAGAAGGATGGTGGTATCACTTTTAAGGCAGCAGATTTTCTAATGGGGAAAAAAAACCACTGAGGGTGTGTTTAACTAAAAAAAAATAACAAAACAAAAAAAAAACCTTTATACTGGAGAAAATTTGTTTTATTTTCATGATTTTTTTATATTTGCAAAGTACCTGGAGCCCATTTCACCAACAGGTAGAACGGGCCTGAGTGGGTTTCCTGAATTAATGCACAGCAGAACCACAATTATCTCCAGCTATTAAAAGTCCATTAAATTACCTAAGGTTTAAGCTTGAGCCCCACTGAGGTCAGTAGGGTATTTGCCATTGTTTTCATTTATCATCATAAGCAGGTTATGAGACAGGCCCTTTCTTTTTTCCTTCACCTTTTCTTGCATTTGGAATAAAAAAAAAAAAAAAGCTTGCAAATACAGAAGTTTAGAATGATTTTGTATTTGTATTTCCTTTAGCCACAGTAAAATCTGCTGTAAATCCACAGTTAGAAGAACTTTTGAAGCAGTGCTCAGATGAAAACCTAGGGAAGAATTTAAAGCACTCTGCAAAATGTTATATGGATGCCTTGAGAAATCTGACTCAGTGGAGGGTATTAGGAGATACTGGAAGCATCTGAATTTATCTCCAATATAGATCTTCTGATATCTGCAGCATCACTTGCAGGAACAAATGTGGGAGATTATCACAGCTGCAGTTTCATGTGATAAAAACAAACCCTATCAGTACTCAATATCTCAAAACAGTGAAAATAGCCTTAATGCCACCTATGCAATGGCTGGAAATCTGTCAGTGATATCACCCTACAACATGCTTTACTCTCTGAAAATTAGGAATAGCAGGCCTGAATCAGTATGATAAAACATACTTATTTTGTTCATATAGAATTTTGTGCTGGATAGCTGAAAATCCTGCAGGTTGAGGAGTAAAAATCCTAGGGATGCTAATAATATTCTTAGTAAGTAAGTAAGAAGTAGGATTGATGGGTTTAGCTGATTTTAAAAATAGAATTTGCTGATCTCCTGATTTCTGTTTGTCTTACTAACTCTCCTCACTTTTTCATCTTTATGTATGTTATTTATTAATGCTCACAGGCGTAGAAGTGTATTTGCTTTCCTAACTCTGCTACCCTCATGCCTTTGGACTGATTATCTTTTGGCATTTTATGTTAATCCTTGGTAAGTGATTTACTTGTTTTTCCATATGCAATGTGTAAACAATGTGAATTTCTATGACATGAAAGATGTGTGGTACCTCTGTTCTCAAATGGGTCAAAGCTTTTGAAGATATAATTTTATTTTACTGGAACATGGACTGGCGAGGATGTGGGTACCAAAGTATTTGCTACCCTGCTTCATCTAATTTGTCTGTTTATGCTCCAACCCATTTTGATATTAAAAGCTAATCTTACAGTGGTCATTGTATCCATCTCATTCCTGTCTCTGCAATTTTTGCTGCTTCATTCTAAGTCCTGGCTTCTTCTGTCCTGCTTATTTACATGTTCATTGCCTGGCACTGACTTCTGCTGCTGCTGCTGTTCTGCTACTAAAATTGCCTGATTGTGCCCCAGCTCTTTGGTGTGTGATGTCAAATACATTTGTTTTTCAAAGGTGCTCTTATCCTCTCCTGACATCAAAGTTCTGCTTTTGAAAAAAACAGTTCACTGAGAATGGATACAACTAGGAGTCCCAAAGAGTGAAAATAGGGTCCCTGTGTGCACATCTCATTGTGTATGTGTGTATATTTAATTCTTTAGTCTGTAAATCATTTATAAGGATTTAGAAAACACCTGATTGTTTTCTTGAAAATACTTAACAAAGCCACTCATCTACTTAGAACCAGAATTGTTTTACAAACCATTTAACAAATAATTATAATTGACTATGACCCAAAAAATGCCTAATTCATATCAAGAAACCTAAGTTGCTGATGGTCTTGGGTTCAAGTTGTAGGGTTTTACCAAAAAGTGGTACTGAGGTTAAGATTTTATTTCCCAAGCATTTTCCCTGGTCTTACCACGAGGCACCAAAGCCCTGGCAGGCAGACATCAACATCTTCAGCACAGGGATTTCTGAGACTGATTCTCCTTGAAGTTACAGTGGGTCTGTAGAAAAACCCATCCCAATTTCTAGTGGGCCTAGAAATGAGAGTGTTTATGTAAGGAAAGGTCCGTTTCTCCTGTCAGGAAAACAAAAGTGTGTTCTCCACACACACCCCACCGAGGAGCACGTGGGGATCTTCCCCTCCTGGCCAAGGTTGATGTTCTATTGACCTGGAACCTGTCTGGTTAAACCCAGCCAGCTCTCCAGCTGCACAGAGGCAGAGGGTCAGGCAAGCAGGTGATTATTTTGGAGGTCACGCTGAGCTCTCTTAGCTGGCCAAGAAGCCCAGAGTGGCCACTGCCAATGGCACTGCTGCAAAAATGCCGTCATCTTTTGTCCCTCTGCCCTTTTTCTTTTACTGTGCATTAATTCACCTTTCCAGATGCACATCTTTCTTCAGATCAATCAATTTTTGCTTTAGTCTAGATGATTAAGACCACAGGAGCTGAGGTGGGATCAGATTAATCCCTCTCTTTGTATTTTTAATCTGTAGAGTAAATGGAATAACAGATGAAACACCAGCTAATGTTTCAATTGTTTTTGTTTTGCACACAAGTTGGTTTAAAATATTTATGAACATTCAGGAAACAATTGCAATGCTAAGAAACAAAGGCCTCTTGAGACTATCAAAGCACACAAAATTCTTGCTGAGAAATGTATGTCAATCATTTGTTTTATTGCCTCTTCAAGTGTTCCTTGGAGAAGCATTCTTATCATAAAGAGCATTTAGGTATTTTTTTTTTTTCATTTTGAATTAATTCTTATGTGCCTGACATTAAAAAGTTTACCACAGTCACAGGGGATAGAGGTGTGTTGAATAATTTATTGGAATTAACTTTAAGATTTCAATGGGAAAAAATCTTTGAAGATGAAAAATAAGCTACTTTAAAAAAAACCCAAACTACTACTAGTTTAGGTGTACATATGAATGTACAGATAACATGATAGGCTAAAGAGGTTTATCATATTTAATCTCCACATTAATATATATAAAGCTGGTATTGCCATAGCTCTTGTAAATTTGCAGGCAAAGCTCCTCATCTAAATGGAAATGTACTTTGACAAAATAAAATTACTATGGGTAACTACTACTCCTGAAACTGAATATTTTGTACAATTTAATTTTGGAAAGTAGTCCTTTATTTGTTTTTAGTGTAACTTCTAAACTTAACAGGGTAGAAAAATAAAAATACTATGCTTTTTAATATTTCTTCCTGCATATTTTCATTATTTAGATTTTGAAAGTCTTCTCCTTTAATTTATTAATTGAAGCTGTGAACCAAATGACCTAGACATAATTTTCATATCACCATGAAATTAAAAATAGCATCAGTATAATGTGAAAAATGAACAGATGTCATTTAAAATTAAAATTAAAAATTTACACTGCTAAAATTCCTTCTGAGTAAGCAAGAATCTATTTGATCTCTGTGGCTGATTGAAAAGAAGTGATCAGTATTTTTAGACCTCTGGCCAAGTTATTCCAGGGTGCTTGTTTTGTGTATTTAATCTTATTGTTGCTTACTATTATTTATTTAATCTTATTTATTGCTTTGTAGCAACAAAATGAACACATCCCAATGAACCCTCAAAAAAACCACGTGGTGGTAGTTGGTGTTCTTAAATCCAATCCTTTGGGTTTTACTGCTTAACACACTCAGAGATCTGCTCACAATTGCTGCTAGTGAATTACATCACTCATAAATCATTGTTTTACATGACTGGCACAATTATCTCCAGCTGTTAAAAGTCAATTAAATTACCTAAGGTTTAAGCTTGAGCCCCACTGAGGTCAGTAGGATATTTGCCATTGTTTTTCAGGGTTTATAGGGGACCCCTGGCTTTTTCTGGGCACAGATTTTCATTCTCAGAGCCACAGAATGGGATATGCACCCCACTGGAATGGGATGGCAACATTTGTGTTGTCTATCAGCTTAAAATTGTCCAAGTTATTACCACCAATCTCTTCCTGAGTATGATGAAAAGTTATACATTCTTAAATCAATACTGTCTTTGAATAAAAGTTGTACAACTGTTTAATGAGTGAAAAACAATTCCTATTTTTTTAATTTTTTTTTTTTTCAGGAGTAAAAATGGATTAAAGAAGAGAAAGCTGACCAAGTATGTAACTTCTTTGCTATTTAAAGGAATAAGTCTTACACTAAATAAGCATTATGGAGTACAGGCCATAGTGGTATTTCAGTAACAAATATAAAAAACTTCTTGATAGACATATCCCAAGAGAGATATCTGAAAGCAGAAAACAAACAATAATTGGACAAAAGCAATTCTGCTCAACAGATTGCAGTAAAACATACAAAATTAGTCATCAGGGAAAAGATTAATTATCCAACTTAGTGATTTCAACAGAGCTTATCCTTAGTTAAAAACTGCAAATGGTGAAAAAAACTGGGATGCATTTGTTAGTAGTGATATTTCTCTATTGACATGGGGCTCTCGTTACAGTTGTTGCTAGAACATTAGATCATTAATGCCAGTGAGTAAACAGGACTAATTAAGTGGTGATAAGGCACGTTCCTTTGGGCATATTGCCTCAAAGTAAATGAGAAGATTACTGTGTACATGCTTCAGTAGCTTGTAAATTAGAGTATGATAATTAGGTGAGGGAAGCTGTTTACCTGTGTTTCCTTACTCAGAGCTCAGCCTAATTATTTCTGTGTTGTGTTCAGGGGTTGTGCCTGACTAACAGATCTCACCTGGCAAAGAAAGTGTGGAAAGATGGGAGTCATTAAATCAAGGCTGATTCACACCTACTGCAGCTTTCCATGGTTTTATATAGTTATATATTATACTATTATAGTTATATACTATATTTTTATAGTTCTATACCACCTTTTTTTAGCCACCACCTCTCTGGGAAGGGAGTTGGACTTAAAATTACAAATGTGTTTAGCTCTCAAAGCCATCAGAGAAAGCAGTCAGGGCAGTGGCATCCAAAATGTAATACAGCCACCATTTGGTGGCCCTGAGCCACAAGGTTTGCCCTTACTTCTTTCTAGCACTAACAGCTGTAAATAGATATTTATGACTTGAGAATGTTCTGGGGGAAAGGAATGCAAGGTACTACAAAAATCAAATTTATTTATTTTTTTTACATAATTTCTCTGTATTTTTCTTTTAAAGCCCTGTCCAGTTGGATGATTTTGATGGCTACATCAAAGACATGGCCAAAGACTCGGATTATAAATTTTCTCTGCAATTTGAGGTAAGTCTCTGGGGATTTTGCCCTTTGCTACCTGCCCAGATCAGCATTTTCAAGATGTTGAGGCTGCATGGCATGCTCCTGTGTGCTCTGTGGTGTTGCTGGGTGGGCCAGCTTCACTTCCTCTTCTGCAAAATCTAGAAGTGGAGCTTGGCATTGTTTAATCCTGCATTTAGTAAACTGATTGGAGTGGCTTGTCACATTTAACTGTCAGAAAAACACACTTGCTTTAAGTTTAGGGCATGCTGGCAATCTGAATTAAATTTGGGATTTTAATGGCTTTATTTTATATATTTAATGTCCTTAATTTGAGAGGAAGCACTGAAATCAGGAAGTAGCATCAGACGTCTCTATAGGAGCAAGGGGATTTCTCTAAGAGAAGTTCAGGTGCATTCTGTTGATTACCCAAAAATTAAAGTCATTTTTAGTAGAATAAAACTAAACCCCATCCCTATCCTGGGGCTGTTTCCCAAAGACTCAAGCATGGAAAGGCAGTGGGGAAGGCTCTCAGGGTGTTACCATGATCCCTTCCCAGCAAATTCCCCTAATGCACCGTGTAACTACTGAAGATGATGACTGGAAAGATCTTCCAAGCCTTTCCCCAAGACTGAAAGCCATGTGAGGATTTCAAGAAGCCCCTTTAAGGAGGGCAGGTGACCACCACAGAAATAACTTAACCCTGGTTTGACAATGTTTTGGCTGAGTGTGGGTAGAGAGGAGCAATTCTGAGCCACAGATGGGATGGCAGCAGCAGGAGGAGAAACCCCAGCGCTGCTGTCACAGGCATCAAAGAAGGAAAATCACTGTCATCCTGCTGTCAATTTATAAAGTGATTTATGAGCATTTTCTCTCTGCTGCCTGCCACAAGCAATCACAAGGAATTATTCTCTGAGTGATTTTGAGGCTGACCTTGGCGTTATCCTTTCTGTTATCTCAGGAGCTAAAACTGATTGGGCTTGACATACCCCACTTTGCTGCTGATCTGCCCATGAATCGCTGTAAAAATCGCTACACAAATATCCTGCCATGTGAGTACATGCACTAAATCCTGCTAAAATCCCTAGAGAGGGGAAGAAGAGTTTTAATAAAAAAATTGGAGGATCAGGAGATTTTCTAAGCCTTGTTCTACAATCCTGCTCTTACAGAGAACCAGGAGAGGGATGTTTTTTTGTTAGCTTTGAATAGATGTAGCTTCCTGGAAATGTTTATGGTGGCAAAAGTTTGGAGGTGAGAAACACAAGGTCTTTCATGCTGCTGAGTAGTGTTACTGTGTTTTTCTTAGGATTTTAATGAAAGCTAAGGGAGCCCAAAGGGACAGCACTTGGAGGGGGTGTTTGCAGAGCGCTAATGATTCTGTGTCCATGCAGTGCTTGCTGAAGCAAACACTGCTCTCTTAGTCAAATTTTCTATTTTTTAAGAGATTATTTTTGGCCATTCCTATAGGACTAATTTAAATTTTGCCTGGTTGGGGATGAGTGCCACATTTGAGAGGTGATTTTTTTTTTTTTCTCTAATTTCATTTTCCTCTTACAGATGATTTCAGTCGTGTCCGGTTAGTCTCGATGAATGAAGAAGAGGGATCTGACTACATTAATGCCAACTACATCCCTGTGAGTACAGAGGTCTGGTCAGTGTGGAGTTCAGTGTCCTGCACACCAGGCAGAGCTGAGCCCTTGAAAACAGCACAATATTTCCTGGAAGCTCAGTCATATTCTCAGCATCTCCTTCAGCTTCCAAATATTTTGCCTACAGGGAGCAGCCACAAAAAAAAAAAGAAAGAAAAAATAAATAGGAGTGGAGGGGGAAGGTTTTTGGCAAATATTGCTACAGTAGCTGTGAATCTTTGTGAAATTTTGATTGGACTGGTAGGGAAATGAGCAGGAAATGTTAAAATGATTCAGCAGCTTTTTAAGATAGCAAGGTAAAACATAAATGCTGAAATGAGAAATTTTTCTAGATTTCTACCACACGTGGCAAAAAAGGGCTAAGCCAGACACTCCAAATGCACAAAATGCACACAGCCCAGATGGTGTGTGGGGAGAACTTCTGCTTTCTGCCTCCTTCCCCTGCGCCTCCCTCCACCTGGCAGAGAGCAGCATTGAAGTGTACACACAGAGCTGTGGGCAAATATTTTGACACTGGGGGCTGGCTGAAAGCTCATCAGCTCTCTCCACTCTTCCCTGAGCTCGTGCAGTTACTTAGGCTTATCCCTGTGATGCCCAGAGAGGCTGCCTGGAACAGAGACCGGACAGAGATAAAGGAATAAAGTGGATATTTATTTATTAAAAGGCCTTCAAAGGATGCACCTTGGGCAGTGCAAGAGCCTGGCTGTGGCTCCACCCAAGATGGACCCTGGGTCAGGAGTTCTCACACTTTTATAAGTTTTGGTCCGTTTCCATATTGGGGTTAATTGTCCAATTACAGCTTCAGGTGATGAAATCCCATCCTCTCAGTTTGCTCTCTTCAGTTTGATGTTGTTTATACTTTTGGGCCTGAAGCTGCAGTGGTGTCCTTGGTTCTGGGGCTGGAAAAGGATTGTTTTGTCTCACTGAATTGTGAGGAGAACTTGCTGACCCTTGATATGAAGCTCAGAGTTATATATTAATGCAATGCAGAATCTGGAAATTATGAAAGCTAAAACTTAAAGCATCACCTGCCACTGCCACAGGGGTTTGCCCCTCTGGTAGCCTCTGTGCTGTGGCTCCCTGGGGGCTGGAGAGCAATGTCCCCTGGGCTGTTCTGTGTGGGGAGGAGGCAGGGCACCATTGCACCCTTTAGCGGGAGGCTTTTCACTTGGGGACCACAGACAAATGAGCATTTTTGCAATCTTGCTGTAGATAGAGCTGACCTGGCTGTGCTGGAGTCAGCATTATGGAGAAAGGAGGAGCCCTTGGATGAGTCAGTGGAGCCACTTCCCTGTCACTTTGGCACTGCCCAAGTGTGCAGTGTTGAGCCAAGTGTCTGTGCTTGGCTTGGCTGTGCCCAGAGCATGAACCTGAGCACTCACCCTGAAAGGGCCTGAGCTTGCAGAGAATCAGGAAAGAGAAACATGCCAGGATTCCCAAACCAGGGAACTTCTGTCACACAGGATTGTGGATAACAGGATCTTAAGCAGCAGTCTCTTGTTCAGTTCTGCTTTGCCTCTCTTTAGTTCTGCTTCTAGCACAGTGCTGACCATGGAGACTGGGATAAACACGTGATGTTAATGCCAGCTTTTTTCTGATAATCAGTTCTCTGCTGAGTCCCTGCCTCCAAACACAGAAACCAGGGCTGATCCATCCCTGTGCCAACAGGGATTTGTCACTTGGGTCAGGCACAGCCCACACAGAACAGGCAGCAAATTCCATGTAGTGCAAAAACTGGGATTGAGCTGATTTGCAGAGGTGTCTGGAGGAAGCCACTTGTGGAAAGTGCTCCCAAATCACAAATAATTTTATGATCCACCTACAGTGGTGGCACAGAAATTGCCCAATTTGCACAGCACCATGCTGCGTGCTCAGTGTATTTTTTGCTCTTGCTAGGAATACAAAATAACTTTCAAAATGCAATTTTGATGATACAATCTCAGCAAATATGGTTATAGCAGATGGCAAAAGGGTCATTCTATGGTCTTTTATTATAGTCTTAATAACAGTCTTGTTTTTGGAGAGGAAAAAGGAGTCTTTCCAGCTAAAATCATGATGATAGGCATAGGAAAGAGAATACATGCACATAAGGCATCTTAGCATCTGTTAAAAGCATTGACTCAGCATCTTCTCTATTCTTTTAAGCAGAAGTCTAATTAATATTTTATTAATTTAAGGCCTTATGACATAAACACATGCATGTAATCCTGTTCTATTGGCACCAGTGACTGAAAATCACCACAGGCACTGCTTGGGATGAGCAGACTGGGGATCTGTAACTGGTTTTATTCCTTTAACTGAACACACCCTAAAATTACATAATCTGGAAAGAGCTGTAACTTTCTTTTCATGTTCTTATTACTTCCTTTTTTGATGTTGCCTTTTCTGCTCTCTGGACTAATGATTTGTGAGGTAACAACTTTATCTTCTTCATTTTAGATTGCTTATACTTAGGGAGCATCAAAATCTAGCAAAAGTTGTCCTCACAAAATAAATAGAAAAAAAAAAATTAATTTCTTTGTATTACAAATCACTTTTAAAAGTAAAAACTGAACTTGAGAAAGCTAAAAAAATATTAAAAAATACCTGTTCTGAAGCAGTAACCATGTTGGTAAGCAGGACCTATCTCTTTGTCTTTTAGGGTTATAATTCACCCCAGGAATACATTGCAACCCAAGGACCGCTGCCAGAAACTAGGAACGATTTTTGGAAGATGGTTCTCCAGCAAAAATCACAAATCATTGTTATGCTCACTCAGTGCAATGAGAAAAGACGGGTATGTGACAGAAAAAAAGAGTTCCTTTATGCTGAGTGAATGTCTGCATTGTTTCTGATCACAAGGCAGCATCACAACCAGCCCTGCAATGGCACAGCCTTCCTGTTTCAGGACCTTCTCTGACATTCCTTGATGTTCCTTGACCTTCCCTAACCTTCCCTGACTTTCCCTGGCCTTCCCTGACCTTCTTTGACCTTTTAGGACCTTCCCTGACCTTCTTTGACCTTTTATAACCTTCCCTGACCTTCTTTGACCTTTTATAGCCTTACCTGACCTTCTTTGACCCCTTACCTTTTTTGACCTTTGACCTGCTTTGAATGTTCCTGACCTTCAACTTTCTCTGACCTTCTTTGACCTTTTATGACCTTCCCTGACCTTCTTTGACCCCTTCTTACCTTTTGTAACCTGCTTTGACCTGCTGTGACCTTCCCTGACCTTCTCTGACCTGCTGTGATGTTGTCTTCCCCTGATTTTCTTTAACTTCAAGGTTAAAGGTTGGTTAACCCAACCTTCTTTGAACTTCTTTGATGTTCCCTGACCTTCTTTGGCCTTTTCTGCCCTTTTGCCTCCCCTGACCTTTTTATCAAGCCTCACTTCTTACATGAGGAGAGGCTGAGGACTGGGACTCTTCATCCTGGAAAAGAGAAGGTTCCAGGGGTCTTGTCACTGTGTACAAATACCTGATGGGAGGGAATGGAGACGAGGGACTCCTTTAGTGGTGACTTGCCCAGTGACAGGTTGAGAGGTGAGGTGCACAAATTAAAAAGAAAACACACTGAATTCCTTCTAAAGTCAGGAAATATTTATTTACTGTGAGGGGGACTGAGCACTGGGGCAGGTAGCCCAGAGCTTGTGAAGTCTTCTATCCTTGGAGATATTCCAAAGTCACCTGGACATGGTCTAGAGCTGGTTGTAGGTGACAGTGCTTGAGAGGGGAAGGGCTTGAAAAGGGGTCCCTTTCAACCTCAGGCCTTCTGTGATTCTGCACTTTTAATTTTAAATAATTTAATTTTAAATAATTATAAAACACAAGTTTTATCTTTACATTTTCTCTTGATGTTGTAATAAAAATATTTGGAATATAATTTGGGGGATTTTTATGGACATTCTCTTTCCCATTTACACCATTGCTGCATTTACACCTATTACATCAGGAAGAATAACAAAAGGCACTCTTTTTCTATTCTTCACTGTTTTAAAGCTGCCCTTCTGAAAGCTTCCCACAATTAAATGAGAATGGTCAGACTGGAAGTCATTGCAAGATAAATTACCTGTGATTGCAGCAACAAGTGAACAGTGGTGTAGGCACTGCTAAACCTGAGCTTCTGTGTCCTTTAGCATGTGCTTCTTTCTCTGTGTGTATCTTTAAACACAAACATGCCTGGATTTCCCTGTTTCAGGTGAAATGTGACCATTACTGGCCTTTTACGGAGGATCCTGTTGCATATGGGGATATCACAGTGGAGATGCTGAGCGAGGAGGAGCACACGGACTGGGTGTACCGCAGCTTCCGAATCAGCTACGTGAGTGAAACCTTCCCAAAGGAGAGGGGGTGATTTCAGTCCAGCTTTTTAACTTTTGTCCATTTCTGGCATTCAGCAGGAAACCCCAAAGGGAGATCAATATCCTCACCTTCACTTCACGCAGACAAATGAGGAAATCACAAAACTTTCCCTTAAAATTGTCTCTTGAGTTCCTCAGCAAACTGCAAGGCTGAAAAAAAAGTAGCACCAGAGCTCTGGACACTTCTGTGATACCAATAATTACTGACAACAAATGTGTGAATTTCTGCTTTTTTACATATCAGGCATATCCTCTTGCTATAAATCATTCAAAACTTGAAAATACCAATGGAAGAATTGAAAAGATTTTTCAAAAGGGCAATTGTGTAATAATCATGTCCACCTACAAAGTATTGGAATAAATGTGAAACAAAGTGTTCCAAATGAAACAAACAAAAGTGGTGTCCAAATGAAAGCTCCCCAGACTTTCAGGAATTTCCTTCCACCTTTGTTTCCTGCATCAGCTCACTGCCAACAACATCCCATGAAAATTTAGGGATGTGGAGGTATTGTGGAAAAAGCTGTGCACTGGCAATTCACCAGTGACCCAGAACTTTGTGTTGTGTTGAGGATTTTCCTTCATCTGAAGCCAGTAGAATTTTTAGCACTGTAAATGTTTTGTTTTTTTAAATGAGCTTTTTTCCCTAAATGTTTCCTCTGGTAATGGTTTTTTCTTCCCTTTGTTTTTTTGGGTTTTTTTCTTTTAAACTTGAAAAAAAAAATTCTCAGAAGTCCAGGCTTGACACTGTTTGCCAACAGCGTTCTTTACCTATGTCAAAATAAAAAAAAAGGAGAGGAAATGGAATAAAAAGAGGAAAAAGCCCAGAGTTGAAAAATACAATAGTTCTTGATTTAAAAGCAAAGTAAGATGGAACTACCACAGGGACAAAAGCAAAAAGCAAATCCCAAACCCAGAAACAGGAATTTCATACCATTTTGATAATGATGGCCTGATATTTCCCCCACTTTGTAATTAAATAGCATTTTTGTTCTTTGCCATTTTTTCGGCTGGCTTCACTCTTTTTCAGCTGTGTGTGGGAGAATGACACAGCTCTGCACCGGAGCTCTGGCTGCTTCTATGGTGTTCTTTTTTCTTTTTTCACTCCAGAGCAGACGAGCACCAAGAGTGGGGAGTTGGCTTTTCCCTCAGTGGAACCTCCAGAGTCTTGGGCCACCCCAAGCTCTGCGGTGCAAGGTGTCAGGGGTGGAGGCTCAAGAAAGTAGAGCAGTCTCTGTTGGATTGAAGATCCCAGTAACAGTTTATTGGGATGGGGAAAAGAGGAATCCACACTGGAAAAGGTCAGGGACAAGAGAGCCCAGAGCAGTGCTGTGCAGGGGGTTAAATACAGCCCCAGCTCCAGGGGAGGGTACAAACCACAGACCAATAGGAAAGGAGTAAGGGGCGGGGATCACAAATTCAGGGCCAATAGGGGTACACAGAGGGAGGGAGCAAGAGACACTAACCAATGGGGCCTCGAGGGACAAATGATTGACAGGGAAGGATCTGGAAGGAAGGGTGGGGTTTACAATGATGGACAAGGGAGTAGGGGCAGGGCTGTGACAGACAAGGAACTTTCAAGAAGGAAGGGAGGGGTTTGCTTTGATGGGTAGGATGTGAGAGGGATGACAGGAGGGAGAAACCATTACACTTAACCCAGGAAAGGAACAAACCAACAAACAATGTGAACTTTGACAAAACTCATTAAACAGACTGCAGCAGGAGAAAGATGAAAAGCAGAAAATGAGAAAGAAGCCCTCAGGGTAAGTGAGTTTGATGACACTGTTGAGACCCTGAACACGCTGCTGTTGTGGTTCTCCCACCAGGCTGATGAGGTGCAGGACGTGATGCATTTTAACTACACGGCCTGGCCTGACCACGGCGTCCCCACCACCAACGCTGCCGAGAGCATCCTCCAGTTTGTACAGATGGTCAGGCAGAAATCAGCAAAGACTAAAGGCCCCATGGTCATACACTGCAGGTAAATGCTTCAAGGGAAGGGAGATGAGCAAGGGGTGACATTAAATAGGTTGGGAAACCATGAGAAGGAGAGATTTCGGGGTTCTGCTCACCTGTTGGCTGAAGATGGTTCTCTCTGGTGTTAAGGTGTTATGCAGCTCTCATGGAGAAATTCATAGAGGGTATTGTTCCATGAGTATCAAAAAAAGGGCTCAGTAATCCAGGGGAGAGATTTATATACAATATTATGAAATCAGACCCTGTATTTACGGCTTAATTGTTCTGGGAAGGAGCAGAAGCAAGTATCAGAGAGCTGGGCAGCAGCTGTAGTATTTTCTTTTTTAGTGAGGATTCTTCTAGCAGCAAAGAGGGATATTTTGAGATAGTATTTTTAGGTACCATCTATAAATATTTATTTATTTTTATTTATATATTTGTATATTTTAAATGCAATTATATTTACCTGTATGTATATACTTAAATATATATTTATATATAAACTCTAGATATTTACATATTTATGTATTGAAAATATTTCTATTTTTATATGTATTTATATATTTTAAATATATCTTATATTTTTTTAATATATATATGACTATATATATAAACTATATATATACTATATCTATCTGTACTGTACATCTTAGACCACATAGATTCAAAGTAACAATGGTACAAAATTAGTAGGGAGGGCAAAGAATGTATTGGTTAACTCCTGCAGCAATTGTTCTCCGAGGTTTAAGAAGGCACAGAATGAATTTATCACTTAATCTGTCCAATTAACATGTCAGAAGTTCCATTGTATTCATGGTATTTGGGAAATTAGCACAACAAAAACCAAAATAGAGACTGGTTTGTGACAGTTGTCTTGAACTGTGTTGAGGTGAACTGTTAAATACTGTAAATACTTTCCAGGCTTTTCAGGAGAAGTATGGCAAAACAGAAGGAAGAACTTTTGCTAAAATACACACCCTTAGTAGTAGGTGAGGTGTTGGGATGTGTGAAACTCTGTAAAACCTCTAACTTCTCACTCAGTGAGATCTGACTTAAACATCACGTGTGAAATTGCAGCCAAGAATCGTTAGAACATGAGAATCTAAACGAAATTCTAATTCTAAACGAAAGCAGTGTGTATTTTTTCCTGTTGCTAAGCATCCCTTTGGGGAAAATGAAGATTTTCAGCTGAGTGGCAGCTATTTCTGTCTCGTGCTCCTAAGGCAGAAGTCCTGGAGTGCAGACTCTCCTGTCCTTTGGGGACAAACTACAGCAGCGCCTTTGCAAGGCAAGAGTTTTGCAGTGTGGAGAGCTGTGGGGCTGAGTCCTGCTGTCTCTGGGCACCCATGGCTCCTGGGCAGGTCTCTGCAGTTCTGGCTCCAGCCCCTGGAGCTACAGGGGTCTCCTGCAGTGTGTGAGAGGAGCAGTGGCAGCAGGAGGAGCAGAGAGCTAAGGGTGGGTGAGAGCATGTGTGCACGTTCTCTGTGTGAGTTCAATGGATGATGGATGATTTCCATGCCAGGAAATCCCACAGATCAGCCAGGCCTGGCCTCAGATTAGTAATATCTGATTGTTACAGCTGCAGGAGTGCTGCCTTTTGCAGTGTCACAGCTTCTGCTGTGTGTCCCCTCCTGAAATGAGGTGCATGTCTGTCTGTGTTTGCAGCGCTGGCGTGGGACGGACGGGAACGTTCATAGCCCTGGACCGGCTCTTGCAGCACATCCGTGACCACGAGTTCGTGGATATTTTGGGCCTGGTGTCGGACATGAGGTCCTACAGAATGTCCATGGTGCAGACAGAGGTAAGATCTGTCCACTTCAGCACTGTGACAGTATTGTTGTGCCCATTTCATCCCCCTCTTCAGCACGTTCGTGTCTAAAGCTGTTCCCCCTGAACACTTGACAAAATCCCTATCAGTCAATATGATCAAGTTTCCTTCTTCATTGTGATATTGTCACATTATTAATCTGCTGCATAGGTGGGTTTGATGATAAATCTGCAATCTCACTGTCTGCCAGAGGAAATGAGTTATTCTCACCTTCTGTGAAATGAATATGCAAACAATGCATTAGAAGAGATTAGCATATGAAATTTTCAAACCACACTATAAAGAGCTGGGCTTGCTGAGGGGATTAATGGCTCATGAAATGATATCAGTACCGGGCAGCCTTGTTCAAGTCTCATGTTGGAATCATCCAGCCAAGGGTAGGAGCTCATTACACAATGGAATTTCAAACAAGCAAAACAGACAAAAGGATTGTGAATCTGCCAGACACCCTTCTTGCCCCTCTCCCTACCCAAACATCTACTGGGCAGTTCTCTTTTTAAGACAAAAATATACAGACAATAAATACCAGGGTCAAAAAAACAAAACAAAACATGAACTCTTTCTTCAAAGCAGAAGATTTAATGCATCTAAACCTTCTCAGTTCTAGCAATGAGGGAAAGATTTCATATTTCATGCCTGTTGTACTCCTCTCTTGGTTAGACACACAGTAGAAGCAGGCAACCTCCGTGTGGGAAGTGCCACCATCACTATTTCCAGGCTGGATTGTTTGTTGCCAAAGTTTGTTGACGGGAGAGCAAAACAAAAAATTTGTAGCAGGGCAAGGAGAGGAGGAGGAAAACCTGCAGTGACAACAACTAGCATCTGGAAATGAAAAAAAAAAGTCATTTTCAGTCCATTCTGGATCATTCCTAGCAAACTGCCACTTTTCATCACAATTCACTGTATTAATCTAAAGGCAGATCGTATGTAAACGACAGAGGAAAAAAATCCGGGTGGTTGATTGGTTTCAGCTGCAACTGTTACCACTCCAGAGCTGATGTGGGTTTTTGTAGAGTGGGTTTTTTAAAAAATATTTCATTTTTTTTTATGTAGAGCCTCATTGCCTGCCTGGGGCTGATGTTTAAGGGCAGTTACTGAGCTCCTGCTGCTACAGACAGTGACCTCAGAGGTCACCAAGTGACACTGACACTCAGTCACAGGGGCCACCAAACAGTTTTTCCTTACAAAATCTGAAACCACTGACAGCTCACCTGAGTTCACATTGTCTTGTATGCTGGAAACTTGGCAGCATCTCAATGAGCACTCCAAAAAAACAAATGGCATGGGCCCAAAAAGGGGTTTAGAATGGGGAATATCCTGAATTGAAACCAGTCTCTCCAAATTAATTACTGTGTGAACAAAGTCAGGGTTTTCTTTTTATTGATAAAGAAGTCAAACACTAAGGAATGTGGACCTCATTAAAATATTTCAGGTGCATATGTGGCATGGGTGCAATTTGTTGCACGTAAAGCATTCAGTTTCTTTTCTTGGAATTTATTGATTTTTAGGCAATGTAAAGCAGACCAGCTTTAACTCAGACTCAACTCTTCTGTCATCATTCAGGTTATTAATAAGTGATTATGGTGCCAGGTGGATTTCATGCTTCCCCTTCTGCTGTCTGTAACATTTGTGGACTATTATTTTGGGAGCTGATAACTCCCTGTGCATTGTGAGGGGCTGAGGTGGGTGACGTGGAACTGTGCAGGCTGCAATCTGTCAAACTGTTTCACTGCTTGGGTTTTTGTCCTGCTTCCTGAGGTGCCAAAAAACCACCCATTTATTTGGTTTTTTTTCCTTCTAGGAGCAGTACATTTTTATTCACCAGTGTGTGCAGCTGATGTGGCAAAAGAAGAAGCAGCAGTTCTGCATCAGCGATGTCATATATGAGAACGTCAGCAAGTCCTAGTCCAGAGCCACAGGTGGTAAGTCAGGCAAGCCTGGCCCTGGGCCATGCCCACAGCCTCACATCCCTCTTGCAGAAGCTTTGCTGGCAGTTTGGGGCTTTTCTTATTCCTCTTCCATGTTCACGTGGAGAGTGAGGGAAAAATCCATCTAGCCTCTGGCAGTGAATAATGGCACTGTGAGAATATATGGGCTCACTCATGTTTGAAGAAAAAGAGAATCCAAACTGCTGATGAGCCATCTAACCATTCCCTGCCACTTATCCTAACAAACCTTGCAGAGCTTAAAGGGATGGAGAACTTCAGTATCTTCAGTCATTCTCAAAAAGGAATTTTGCCTGGTTACCAAGGCCAGCTGAGGCTTGGGGATGCTGGAGGGCGAGTTGGCTACCGAAAATCTCTGGCATGAAACAGTGGGAAATTTAGATTTTCATGAATCTAAAACCATAGAACCAGAGAACCAGCAGGCTCTCAAACTGGTACCACCAGCAGCATAAGTGAAGGGTTGGTCTGACTTTCAGACTTTTCAGTTTTGCCTGAGCAAAACAAATGCAAAACAAATGGCTGTGACCACGAGGTTTGGTGGTGGGGACGAGCTGTGGGGATTTGGGGCACTGCTCTTTAAGCTACTAAGCTTTGGTTCATTAGGTGGCAGCAGTAACCCAGCCAGAACCTTGATACTCCCTTTTGGGAGGAGCAGGAAGCTGCAGACTTTGACACAAACTGCTTTTCAAGCAGCTGGTGGAGGGCTGGGCTGTTTGCTGTGTGTCTGTGGAGTTGCTCGTGTGCTTTTATTAACCCCTGTGTGCATCATCCCCCTGCTGAAAAGGAACCCCACTTTGCCTTGCTGTCCCTCAGGATTAGGGAGGTTACTGTCTAATATAGGTTGGATATTAGGGAAAAGTTCTTTACAGAAAGGGTGATAAAGTACTGGAATTGCCTGCCCAGGGAGGTGGTGGAGTCACAATCCCTGGATGTGGTTAAAGACTGGATGTGGCACTCAGTGAGTTTGGTTGAGGTGTTAGGGCTGGGTTAGACTCGATGGTCTTGGAGGTCTCTTCCAACCTTGTGATTCTGTGGTTCTGTGACCTGAGCAGTCCCAGCCTGTGTGGAGGGTCAGTCAAACAAATGCTAAAAATTGTATTTATTGCCTTTCCTTCTCTCTAAAGCATTCTGTTTGTTTGGTTGCAGGTGAGACCATGAAGCACATCCATCTTCCCTTGCTTCTGATTTTTTTTCTGTTGAAGGTTTGAACGGGCAGGTGCTGTGCCACGAGAGACTACTGCTTTGCAGTGCACAGACAATGAGGAAAAGAAACTTTTACCTTTCTGAAGCACTGGGGAGACAAAGCCTTAACGAGCCTGCGGTGTCTTTTGAACTGTTTCATTTCTGGACATTTTTTTTAAATACTGGACCAAATTCAGCTAAACAACATGAAGGAAAAGACACTATATGTGCATAAGATAGATTGCTCCAGAGTGTTGGGGTTTTGTTTGGTACTGTTGGTTAATTTCTTTCATAATTTTTTATTTTTATTTTTTTTCTGTGCAGGTTGGGCTTAAGGTTGAAGTAAGTGCAATATTTTTTTAATGGTTGACTGAAGAGCTTTCTTCATGTGTCACTGGTCTGTCCCTAGGAGAGCAGGCATTGTTAGTATCTAATAATACCTCATTAGTGAATAGCGAGGCATGAACATACATGAAGAAACCTGGAGATTGTGAGGAGGAAAGGCAATAAATACAATTTT